GTCCCACATACAGCAACTAGAAGGATGTGCAGCTCTGACATACAACTATCTACTGGGGCTTTGGGGGAAAAAATAAATAAATAAAATTATTAAAAAAAAAAAAAAAAGAAAACCCTATGAATAGCAGTGGAGCATTGTCTGCTATAGCTCAGGAAGGTGAGAGAATGACACAAAGACTGGGCAGGGTTCCGCCCTGCTGTACACAGGGTCACTAGGAGTTGGAATAGACTCCATGTCACTAACAACAAAACAAGAGCAATTGGTATAAACAGGTTTAGCAACATGCAAACTCATTCTTGGTAAACATGATGACTCAATGGGTAGAAGTGTGCAGGGGCACCCTAGGTAGCTCACTAGATGTGAGCTTTCTATAGGCACAACTGACTGGGTATAGGCACAACTGACGGAGGCAATGGAGAACATGAGTCAAGGAAGTCAATTAAGAAGGCTCTATAGTAATTACTGGTGCTAAATTGATTGCAGCTCTGTCATGAATGTATGTTTGTTGGCTATCGTTAGATTTGTATTTGGTATTATGCACCATACTCAATAGGTGTATGCATATATGTGTGAAAAATAACACAATGATAGGTTGATGAAATAACCAGTTATACATATTATTCTTTACAGATTGCACCCAAGACTTATCAATCTTTATGGAGGAAGCATGGAAGAAAGTAATGATTCCAAAGTAACATGTAATTGTTTATGAAAGAAATATGCAAACTAGAAGTTTAATATGAAGGAATATAGTCATGCTTTAAACAGATATCCTAATAGGAAAAAAATTCTTTTTAGAGAAATTAAAATTGCTATTTTTGATGTTACTAAAAAGATATGAAATATATGCAAAACAATTTAAATTTTGTTTTTTAGAAGGTATTTATTGGAACTGAAAATAAACGTTTCATGTACTTAAAATTTACACAGCATCAATATTTAGCTAGATAATTCCAAAATAAAATAATTTGGATTCTTTGATTTTTTTCAGGATTTGAGTCTATCAATTCTAATGTTAAATTTCCTATAGCCTGGTACAAACAGACCATAGAGTTCATGTAGGAATGCCCTGATTTTCCTGAGGAAGTACCTAATCCAGTGAGATTAAATTTCAAAGTTACACAGCTAGTTAATGATATAACCAGAAATAGAACTTTTTTTTTTTCAAAATTTCTCCAATACCCTAGACTACTTGCCCAAAAAGAAACCCAACCTTATTTTTTTTAAAGTTATGGTTCCAATTTTATGAATATTCTCTGAAAGTTGATTTTATTAAAGTGGTAGGGTTTTAAACATCATAATACAGGTAATCTCAAAGTTTATAACAAATTTAATTTAAACTATGCAAAATATCTAACTGGGCAGAATTGGGCCCAACAGGGAGCTGTGTTCCCCTTGCTCCTGAAAGTCATATTATCCAGCAATCTGAAATGCCATCATTTCTAAATAGGAAAGAACTAAATTTAAAGTTCCTCAGGGATCATCTTTAGAAAGATTCTAAATTTGGGATTGATTTTTCCACCAAAGATCTTGCTACTTGTTTTTTTTGTAATGAAAAAACATAAAAATATCTTTTGCTCAAAAAAAGTTCTTTAAAAATATTATATAAATTTAATTTCTATTAGTACACAGCAAGTTCAGGAGGTTTCATGCTCCTTGTGATTATGTTTTGCTGCTCAAATGCCTTCACAAGTCTCCATGCATTCCATACTCTCCAGCCACCAATCCCCCACGGCAAGCTTGGGAACGGCTAACAGCCAGGAGTTAGGCAGTCTGAAGAAGACAGCTGTTGACAGGAACTTCATATAAAAAAATCTTTTCTGTAATAGTAAAGACTGCCTTCTAATTTACCTATTTGATCACCTCCTATAACATTTTCAAAATTTGGCCACAACTTTCTAATACATATAAAGACAGATATAAGACAACTCAGATGAAATTATATTCTGCAGTTATCAGCATCTCGTTCATATGCATGAATAAATATTACAAAAAATGATTGTATTTTCAAATGAAAAGGCCTTTAAAGATAAATTATTTAAAACCCAGAAAGAAAGAACTTCATTATAAAAAAGAATCTAAGACGACATCAACAAAAAACTTAAAATATTTCACTTATCACTAAAACATGTCATGGAAATTTTGATGTCACATTTATTATTCACTACATAGAAGCTAAATCGGTATTATTTAATTTACAGTTAAATTTTTGAATTTTGTTTTTCTATTAACATGCAGAAGAGAATGCTCTTATTTACATTTAAAGAGAAAAGAGTAACATCTAAAAAGTATTTGCTTAGTTTGACAGTCAATATTTTATACAGTATCTAATTTGTATGAAATATTGGCCCCTAATCATTGTCTTTGCAGAGCTTTGATTTTTAAAAAATCATTAGTGAGGTACAGTTTTCGTATTTTATATATACATCAGTGTATTTATATTTCAAATATTAGCTAAAGTGCAACATTCACAATCTGTTTCAGAATATAAATTAGAATTCTTAAGTACTGTTGTTTTTATAAACAAAAATTTGACTAAAGATGGATTTTTAAAATTTATTCCTGGGTACCTTTGATAAAGTTGTGTTATAGGAAGACTAGTGGATTTATACCTATATAAACATATATTCTTTTAAAAACTTAAGTATATATACAGAAAGAAGAAAAAATCCATAGCCATATAAACAATAATTATCCAGAAGTCATCCCATTAAGCTCAAACCAGTGTATAAGTTCAGTCTGAAGTGTGCTCTTCAGGCCCATAATGTTCACAGACTACTGAATGAATGGCTGTTGATCAAAGCCCATAGGAAATGTATTACAAATAAATGTCTTTAAAGATAAAATCTGTCTTAAAATAATAATGCTTCTCTTTTATTCATTAAAAAATTTGGGAACAGCTATTTGAAAAATCCTGGTAAATATTTTTAAAGAACATATTTCAAGCAAGTCTCAAAGATCTATTGGAAATGAATACCTATTCAGTGGAATTTATTTTACTGAAGCAAGCACATATGGTAAATATCTGTTTTAAAGGAATGATATTTCAAGTCCAAGACTTCTCCAGTTGAGTTGTTTACATGATTTAATTCAGATGCGCTTTCATTTCAAGATATCTTTGAGGGATTATTTATCTTGAATAATTGAAAGCTTTAGTGTTTTTCTATCCATTTAAGAGCTGAAAGGTTATCTTTGGATATATTGAATAATACCTTTGCAACTATTTTCTTTCAAAGAGTAATCGTTGCTTGGATTTTTCATTTGCGTTAAGACATAATACGTCACAAGCTCATGAGTAAAAGAAGTACATGGAGGAATCTGAGCAAAATTCATGGTTTCTTGTAAACAGTGGCTTAGATTTCTTTAGTATAACCTGAGTCTGTTGTTAGTTCTCTCAATTTGAAAGAAGTCTTTAATCATCATCATTGCTTTTACTGTTCACGTAACTCCAGCTGTCTCTTCTGTTTTCTTCTTGTAGGACGGATTTGTACTGTCTTTTAAAGAAGCCAGCCTGAAAATAGCATTGCATAATTACTAGTGTATAATTCTGAACATATTACACTCATGCCAAATATCTAAACAGTCAATGCCAATATTTCTTAAACTGTGTCCCATGTAGTCAGTAAAAATTAGTTTGGGAAAAACTGGGTTAAAGAACTTTTTTTCATGTTACTGCAGAACTTCTCAGTGATGCATGCACACTCTCTCCAAAACTGACATTCAACATCATTCCAAATGCTTTTGTAAAAGCAACATTTTTCAAAACTAGTGTTACACTTTGAACATTTGTTGAAAATAAGTTATCTTTGGGAAGGCATATTTCTCTAGAAAGACTTGGGTAGTAAAGTTTGGAGAAATGAGATCAGTACTACATATTCACTTAGGAATTTAAAAAGTTAATGTTAAAAATACTGAAATGTATAAATCTAATAACTTGGGAGTCACACGTTGGCTTTGAGAAAATCAAGAATGGCATTTTGAGTGGTTTAACATTAGTAATTATCAAACGCTTACCTTCCACATGACATATGAAATGAATAAAAGTACAATAAGTCCAAGTAGCAGGCTACTTGAAATAATCACTATAGTGAAATGACGTTTGGGTCTTTGATGATGTAGTCCTTCAAGGAAAACCTACATAAATTAACCAAAATAAAGAACCACCAGTTTAAAAACTTGCTTCTATTTCCTTTGAAGCCCCTCCACGATCCGCATCTGTATTTAGAATAACCCACCCTATTCTCTGGCTGGCTCTAACACAACCCTAGGAAACATTGGTAACTGTTCAGCAGAAACAGTGAACAGAATGGGCGAACAGAATGGGCTTTATCCATTGTTCTTCCTCTAATCATGCTACCAAATTTAGCTCCTGAAAGACCTCTGTCATTCCTTCCTGCCAGTTGTGGAAAATGTCAACTCTCAGTAAAGTATCTCCGGCCCTCCCTGATAGTCAAAATCTATATTCCTACCCAAATAGCCTAGCAATACTTTTTCCCTACAACCTTAATGTTTCAGTTAAGAAGGTAATCTTACATGTGCAACATTGTCATTCTTGTTTAGTTCAATCACTTTTGGATTTGACTCTGGAAAAGCTGTCGCTCTTATTTCAAACTTGAGTGCTGAAGTCTCATCCTGTTTAATAAAAGAAAGATCACTGTAGCCTGATTCATAGTTTTATTTCATGAAGACATTAATAGTAGGTAAGGATCATGAGAAATTATTTCTATATAGAGGTTTTCACAATTTATCTTCCCCAATTTATTTCACCATTTGCAGTTAATTACAATGCAGTGCTTTCTTTGGTTCCAAAGCCATGGGCTTGGTATTAATTTATATGGCATCATTTTATTGAAACCCTTTCATTAAACATGGCTACTTTGCAGATTAAATATTATAAATATTTAAATCAAGTTATCATTTGATAGTTACCAATGTATTTTTTTCCTGGATATTGAATTTTTATCCTCAAACAAGACTTTCTTCACCTGATAAATGACCTCAAATTCATTTTATTTGGGCTTCTTTTTCTGTCTAAATAGTGTTGTATTTTGCTGCTCTAATAAAATACATATATTCTAATATTGTAATGGAAAAATCTGGTATGAATAATTATAGCATTCAAATATAAAATCAGTAGATAAACACAGACCTTTGCTGTCTAATGCAGGGACTTTATAACCCAGAATCCACAGAGCTTGGGAATCTGTGGATGGGCTCCACAGACTCTAAGCACCTTCTGAAATTGTATGTAACATTTAGATTTTTTTCACATGTGCATTCACTGTTGTAGATGAGAATATATTCTTTAATCAAACTCTTGAAGAGGTCAATGACCTTCAAAAGTTAAAACTACTGTGTAAAGATTGTTCAACATTTTGGAGAAAACATGTAGAATTTTAGGGCTAAAAATAAACTACATACTTCATCTAAAGCAGTGGTTTCCAACAGGATGATTGTATCCCCGGAGGACAGTCAGCAATGTCTGGAGACATTGGTGACTGTCAGGACTTGGGAGGTGGTGCTACCAGCATCTAGTGGGTAGAGGCCAGTGATGCTGCGGAATATCCTACAATGTACAGGACGGCCCCTGACAAAGAATTATCTGGTCCAAAGTTCCAATAGTGCTTACTGTTGAGAAACCTGGACCTTGAGAGTATGAGAAGGCAAACTGCAAAAGTTTAAATAACTTGTTGATGGTCCCAGGGACTTAGTTTTCAGCACAACTAGAACTAAAACAGATTATCTCTTATTTCCCTGTTTGGTGCATCTTCCTCTTGACCACTGTGTGGTAACCTCAAATATTCCTCTTAACAAAACACGATACCTGCCATTTCCTTTGGCTTCCTATGTGCCATGCAGTTTTAGTAGGTGTTTTATAAAAATCATCTCATTTAATCTGCAACCTCCCTGAAAAGGAGATATTATCCATATTTATCAGGTAAGGAAACTGAAGAACAGAACTCCAGATAAAACCCATTTTATTTCAAAGTGCTTCTCATAAATATGCATACTCTTATCTAAGAAGTCCAAGATATATTTAATTATTTTTAATTCAACTTTTCAAAGTTCATCTTCCTAAAAGTGTGTTATTGTATGTTTGTGTTTTGGTGTTGATAAATTTTGATGTTTTAGTTTGATTTTATGAAAGCCTTCATTTTAGTTCTTAGCTTTATTAAATTTTAAATTTTTAAGCATAATTTAAAGGAGTTTGGAAAGAACTTTACAGTTATATGAAATGTTAAAGTAGCCGATTTCTTTGATTTAATCGAGGTTCACAAGCAGTTGGTCATGCTTTCTAAAATAAACCCCTTAAGACTGTAAAGTAAGACTGTGGAATAATTACCTTTTAATTAGTAAAGCCATGTCATTTAGACCAAGTGTTTAGCTGAAGTGATAAATGGAAACGATTTTAGAGTTACACTCCAAATTTTACTTTCATTCATACCTTCTCAATTTGTTGAATGCCTCCTTACGAAGCAGCCTAGCTATATAAGATAATTGAGTTTGTAGATGCTATGTGAACTTATCCATATAGAAAGTTGTCATTGTATTTTAGACTTACCATTTCTAAAATGGATGGCCGGCCTTCCAACTGAATGTGAACACTGGCTTCTTTTCCACTTTCCATTTTCCCAAAATTGCATAAGAAATTTAAACAGTATGGATCAGCTTTTATGCAGTACTTGAAAAGAATACAAAAGAGCTACGTTAAAATGTCAACATTTTTTAAAATGATGGCTAAAATATTTTACGTGGATTTAAAAATCTGCTCCCCTCAGTGGTGTTCATAAAAATTATCTTGCTGTAAACATGGAATTAAAGATCTGCGTTCATTAGTGGCATTTAAAAAATTAGCTTTAAACAAAACACAAATGTTCGTTTTGTAAATTATAACAAAAACAAAGTATTTGAACTGGAGCCTGGATTCTCATTATTCTTATGAACTTAACCTTCTGGGATAAAATTAAAAGAAAGACTCCTAATCAGAGTCTTGCTAAGTTACATGTTCCTTGTAAAACTTGGATTGTTTGAAGGGTAAAATTATTTCCTCAGTTTTTTTTTCCATAAATTCACTAAAATAAAAAGATTGGAAATTAATCTCATGCCACAGAGGCTGCTGAGCCGAAGACAGCATCTTGGCCTCCTAAAGGGTCTGGAGCAATGTCTGCCTGACACAAGATGGGCATTTGTTAGATAAATAATGACACCGTATATTGTATATTTTTAGCCCTGGGTCTATCTCCACTCTCCAGTCATGCCTGTTCCTCACATACAAGAATATTACCTGAACTCGTTTCTCTCCTACACTTAATGTAGGTTAACAGCTCAAACCCATTGATTCCTGGTTTTAAGTATTTCAGTTCTATATGTTGGAAAGCAAAAACTACAACCTGAAAAATGGAAACTTACCAATAGCCTCTTATCAGTCTTTGACAAGAATCTGAATATGTCTTTCAGGGTCTCCAATGGACCTTTTTGCTTCTCTGATGCACAGTTTCTTTCATAATTTTTAAAATGGCATTCTCCATTAGTAGTCTAGAAAGATAGAAAGCAAGAAAAATCTTATTCAATATTGGAAAGAACAACAGAAGTTAAATGGTTTGAAAAGATCCAATTGCTTACCTTCTCTAAAATATATCAAGTACTTCTGGAATTATGAAAATATTTTTTGACAGATTTATTTGGGAAAAATTAAATCTCTGTGGCAAACACACAAAAACCTAGCAAAATTTTAGAGAGTTGGATATAGTTCCTAAACTGATCAAATGGCCTTAACCTTACAGAAATTAGGGCAATGTGAAAAATGGATGTTTGAACATTAGCATGAAATTAAACATTTCTTTGGCTTCAGACACAAAACTATGTGTTATAACAGCATGTCCTACCATCTAAATCTGAAATTCAAGTAAGATTTTTAAAAATTAGATCTCAAATCTACTTAGTAGGTTTATTTGTTGATTGCTTGTCTTGAAACTGGGAAGGTAAAAACAATTCTGATGGAATCATCAAAACAAGAATATTGATTCTTAATTATTTGAATATTCTTTTAAAAAGGCTGAAATACGGATTTTTCAACAGTGGTCTCAATCTTAATGGATAATTCTACCAATTAAATTACTTTCACAGGTCCACATCACAAAGAAAATGTACCAAAGATGGTAGAGCATTGTTCTGTAAATGAATAAGTTAAATGCAGAGGTGCCACTATACTCCTACAGTTCTAATGCATGTATAATATTCAAAGTGTACTCAATAAATTCATATTGAATTCATGGCTTAGATTAATTGTGACTGAAATAACAGAAATCTCCATTTTAGCAATATTACTTACAATAAAGGAAGGAACACATTTTTACCTGGACATCCAAAATGTTGAACAGCTTATGGGTACGGGGGATAAAAGAATTTGGTACCATTATTTCCACACTAACATTTGGAGCCATGCTATGGCCGGTGTTGATAACCTGATAAGAAGGAAAAAATTTTAAACAATTTAAAAATATTTTTCAGAAATGTAAGTAGAGATGTCAATGAACTTTTAGGTGAACCCATATGTTCCATGCAACATTCATACTGGTGAAGGGTTGTTATTAGCAGCTGCACAGCAAAGAGAGACAGAATATTCATAGTCAGAACTTTAAAAAGTTTGCTAATAATTGTAGCCTCTAGTTATTATTCCTAGCCCTCTCCTTTTGGTATTGATTAGGCCAATATGTCCAGGCTGATGGTTTATTGCAGAAATAGTCTAAAGAAAGAGAAACAACATACATTTGTATGGCACATTATGAATTCAAAAAACCGTGCTCAGTTGGTCCTCATAACTATTCCATGAAGTGGGCCGATATTTTATCATTCACCAGCTAAGGAGAATGCTAGGAGGTGTTAATGATGTACCCAAGATGAAAGTTAAAAAGCGACAATAATTGGGACCAAAACCCAGGTATTCTAATTCTAAATCCTATGATGTTTTCACAAAATCACTCTGTGTTGAGAGGATAATCATCAGCAGTTAGTGAATAAAAATCTATTTTAATTCAGGATAATTATAATGCTGATGCACTCAGAAAATCAGAAATGGGGTAGGTTGTTTGGTTTTAGGGACAATACAACAGGTTTTTAATAACGCATAAGGGAATGATTTTTTATTGATAAATTTGGGGATTACAGATCTCTGAAAAAGGAAATTGAGCCAAACTATTGCCTCCTGAGGGCTTAACTATAAAACAAATACAATAAGTCAGAAAAGAGATGTGCCACAGTATCTGAATGAAATAGCATGACTCAGACTCAATTTTTTGAATGCACATGACATAGATGAAGAAACAGAGTGTCCCTGGCTTTGGGACAGGTGGTAATTGCTAGGCAATAAAGCACAGGGCAGTTGCAAAAGGCAGTATCAGCAATGGGTACCCAGTAGTGTCCAGACCTTTAGATAAGGTCTTCCTGATGCCAGCAAATAATCAATCTAACCTACAATAGTCTTCGTCCTTGTTCACCTAATAACGTTTAGACCTCCAAGAACATCTTCATACTTGGACAGATTCACCAAACCAACAGACTGAAAGTATCTCCAGTCACACTCTATTGTAATTTAACTAGAAAATACTTGTTAGCTATTAATTGTGAATTAATGAATAAGTTTTCTAGAGTCCATCTCAGTTTCTGTTTTTGTTTATCAAAGCACAACCTGCCATAGGGCTCTGATTGGACCACTTCTTGGGACTTCAAAGTAGAGGGCTAAATTTTTTTCAACACTAGTGTATACTAGTTTTACAAAAACTTGAGTATACATAGACTCAATAGGAGTCTCAATAGAATCAATAGGATTTCAAGGTCATTCTTCCACAGCTCTGAGGCAGGGCCCAGGAATTTGCATTTTGAATAAGCACCCCAAGTGATTCCGACACACATTTTGAAAAACATTGCCTTACAAAATATTATAATGTACCTAGTCTAATCCAGACTCATTCACATTCTATAGATTGTTATATAGCTCTAAGAATATTTGGGAATTGGTTTTGGTTCAAAAAATATTTTTGTGGACATTATCTCCAATTATTTACTTATAATCAACATCTGTGATACACCAAAAATCTCAGTTGACAGTAAAAATTTTTTAAAAGAATTTTTAGCTTTATATTAGTATATTAATACTTTTGGATAATGATAATACTCTTTACTTTTTAACAAGATTATTTAATAAATGATGCATCACTTGTCACAGGTCATATACCTATGGCCTGAAAGGCTGACCAAGTACACCTTAAATGGAGATGCAAGAGGTAAGAGCTTTCTTTCGTGGTAGATAATGTTAGAGCTTTTATAAAGCTTGAACCAAGAAGAGATTTCACTGATTTCTACCCAAAGATGCCTTCCCTTGGCCTATCCTGTTTTCCGTATGCATCTCTAGTACATTCAGTTCCTCGGCCAGTTTCAGGCGGTACCGATGTTTCTGCTTGCTCTTTCCCACCTGTACTGTAAAGAGATGTGGGCTTGAGCAACAGAGACAAGACAAATGAGAAAAAAGGAGCGGGAGCCCAAGAGGAAAGAGCGTGAGTGCCCGTGCTCCAGTCCCTGCTCACCCTAGGCCAGCCGGGGCCTGAGGGACATTACATGTATCTGGTGTCCTCTGGAGCAATCATCAGTAACATTCTTTCCATTTGTTACACATATCAACACAATCAACTTTTCTTACATGGAAAGTGAGGTTCATTTTCTCTGCCATGCATGTTTCAGGCTCATTTTCCTCGTTTGGTCCATACACAAAAGAAGTTGGATTTACAAACCTGATAGAAACAAATTCAAACTTAACTGTCTTATTTGATAAGGTATTATAAATAGTCTTTCTCTATGGTTTGGATTAGAACATATTGCCTAGATATGCCCTAATCCAGACTATAGGTGCCTCCTAAATACCCTGGAATACTTTTGGTTTCTTGGTAATATAAGAATTCTAGTGAAAATGTAATTAAATTAGAAAGCCATATGCTCTGACTTGGGTGACAGTATCTCTTCCCACCAATATCTTTTGCTTGCCTTCCCCAAGACTGCCTGGCTCATTCTGCCAACCATTCCTTCTCTCTCAGCCCTCAAATGATTCATGTAAATCGATAAATATGAGACAAATTCTAGCTTTTCCCTGTGGCTCCAATATCCCCCATACCTCAGTCTATCATACCTATTTTTGAGTTATTTCTTCCCATCCCTAATTCTTGCTGGCTATTTGTAATGAACCCCAAGTCTGGGGAACAACTCAAATATCACTAAGTATGGTAAATTTTGTTAGAATACAAGGTTGTCACTCTTTTACCTGTGATTAGACACATGTATGGTCAGTAATTAACTTTGAGAAATACTTTTCTAGGGAAATCCTGACTCCATAAGTTGCTCCTACTTGGCAGCTAATATGAAATCCTACAAATTAGAGACCCATTGCACAGGAAAGAAAAATATTCAAATGTTGTAGATTTAGGCAGTTTAATACTTGCAGAGCACTCCTTGCCCAAAATGACAAGATGTGGATAATGGAAAAATAGGGGGACACTCATCAAAGGAAAATCAAGGGGAGGAGGCAAGACAAACATTCAAAACCAGGAAACATGCAACCAGCTTTTCTTTGCTTCCCACTCACTCTCTAGGTCCTCTTCTCCCTCAAATGGCTTCCTTTATCCCCCTGCTTGTAATGGGTGGTTAAAAATGATTGGGGATGGTTTATCTTTAGAGCAACAAGAAGAGCTCATCTGTCTATTCTGTATCTCTTATTGCTTGAAAAATGTGGTTTTAAACAAAGACTAATAGCCTGAATAATTTCCACTCAAATCGTTAAAGGTTTTCTTAACACTCCTTTCATTCTTTCTTCAGACATCTCCTCCTTGAAACAGAGGAGGATCCACTCAGTTACTTAAATAATGAGTGAATACTGGCCCCAGGGCCGTGGCTGAGGAATTCTGTAATTCACGGGTACAAAGGGTGGACAAGGGACACCTTGTAGTTGGCTCTCTCATACCTCAAGCCATTTGCCACATACACAGACACAGGTTCTAGAGAGTAGTGATTTCACTAAGCTCATACTTTTTTGAATTTCCCATTTGCCATGGCCACCAAGTATGATCACGCAAACTACACGCTACCCAACTTCTGGGGCCCCTGGCCTGCACAGCGCACAACTGACAGGCTGGACGTGGCCGGCTAGAGGCTGATCGGGCTCTTCCAGTAAGAAATCTCCTCCAGCTGGGCACTAGTTTGAGGTGGTCTCAGTGATGATTATAAAGATCAAAATAATGAACATCTAAGCAAGGGATTGCAACGCCAAGGTAATTGTTAAAAGACAGAAACAGCACAGGATCTTTTTATAAAAATTTTTTAAATATGGTTTTGACCAGTGATGTAAGAAGCAACAGAATTTAAAATCAGGTCTCAGTTTTACAGGAGGCCTCAATCTCTACTTACCCATGAACAGTTAGCATGACTTCATACTTGAGAGGTAGTGCTAAAGTCACCTTGTTACTCTTCAGGTTGTCCATTTCCCCTTGATTTTCACTATAGAAGCAAATAGAAAACCCTGTTAGAATCCATCCAGCACAAAAATCATCTTAGAACTAATTACATCCTGTGTATACCTACTACACTTGGAGGTTGGTTTAAATGCTTTTTGAGGAGTGGGGATAAAAGTAGAAGTGGTGGTAAGAAATTTTTATGACAGGGTTGGCAGAAATTTGCTCTCATTATTTACAGTTATTTGCTTCCAAGCTGGTTAGAGGGTTTTTGTTTGTTTGTTTCTTAGATCACATAAGAGAAGTTTTCTTCTGTAGACAATGGAACACAGCTCCATAGTTCCCCTGAAGTCCCCCCCCCACCCAAGGTCAGCAGTCCATCTCCTTTAGTACAATTATTCTGCACAAGGAAATATACCAGGCGGCATGCACTGTGATGTTGAGATCCTCTTCTGCTCTGCTGAGGGAGCTCGCATCCAGGAGAAAGCCAACATCTATCTGTAAAACACAGAGGGAAAGCCCAATTTGTTAATAATCTAAAACATTTTTTTTTATAATCTGAATTTTAATTTTTCTTAAGAGTTTATGTTCTGTGTAATGAGAATTGGAAACTATGTTCTAGAAGCATAGGCTACCCTTCACTCGAGCAGTGAGCTACGGGGAAGCTTTTGGGTTTATGGCAACTTTAAAGCACCAGCATTTCCAAAATGACATTCAGAGACAAAGCCTCGTCTAAATGTCAAGACAGGCAGGTCCAGACTGACAAAATTAGAGATGATTTCACAAGCTGAGTGAGGACTCTTGCCAGAAACACCTTTTTGTATAGCAGAGGTAACATGCCTGGCAGACAGGACCACCTGGGGTGGGGTGGGGTGGGGGGAGTGTTGGAGAAGGGTGAGATGAGGGAGTAGAATTCTGATTGACACATTCACATGCCCGTCTTGACATAAACACGTACCCCCCCCACTTTTATTTTTTCCAGTGAACATTGCCAAGGATATAAACACAATCGCAAAGATCTCAAGCTCAGTTGGTTTTGGTTTTATTTCATCACTTAGCTGCTTACCTTAAGCAAAAAATAATAGTAATAAGTTATATATTTGTATGCAGCATAATATAGGAAAAATAGAAAATGTTTTATATTCATGTTAGTAAACAAAAACTATAAATGCTAAATGCTTACCCTTGATAGATGATCTACATATATATAGCCAACACTGCAGTCAAGTTTTACTATGCCAGAGCTGTCTGTGACTTCACAGTTTATTTGTTTTTCTTCCTAAAAGGAAAAATGAAACAACTGGTTTGGGTAGGAAGGGAACAAGAAGTTTGTAACTTATGTTTAAGGATGGTTTTGAAAAAAAAATCATCCCCAAAGAATTTACTTTCCTGGAAGAGTATTTTCTGTTTACTTTTGGGATAAATAAAGAGAAATATAAACAAATTATATAAATATGTGTGCATATGTATAGGTTTATTTTAATATTCATGTAAATTCTCCACAGAATAATTCCTGGACTGGTAGCTTTCATCCATGTTTGTGTGTTCCCTAGTTAATTCAAGGTCCAGTTCCTTGAAAAATCATAAAGCAAGGAATTCATAAGGTCCATATTTCATTGTCCCTCTTCCATCTGGGATGTGAACATGAAGGTATTTAATCGCAATAACTAATCACAATAGGATATACATATTCAAATGCTCAGTATAGTATATTATATAGATGTATATTCCCCTGAATATTTTAGTTTTCCCTCTTACTATTGCACATAGGCTCCCGATGCTCTAGAGAATGAGGGTAATAGATATTTGTGAGAGGTCAAAGGCATCTCTAAATGCCCTTGGTGTGAGGAGATGGTCTCCGGATAGGGATGGGTAAATTTGCTAAGGGATAGAGAAACATCAAAGAAGAAAGTGATTGAAGATTTTCTCTTTGAAATTCAGCCTTATTAATACCTCACTGATGGATTTAAGTGTTCATGACTCAGGCCTGGTAGTAAGAAAAGGTCTCCAGGTGCTTCAAACTCGTGTAGGAGAAGAGAACTTGCCTGCGATGTGGTTGACACTAAGGTCTTGGGGTTTGTGGAAGATTGTTGGTTGTTGGATTGTTGGAAATTCTCTGGGAACAAGACTAGGCGTGTGAACTTAAAACGCAGAGCAGTAACACTGGAGCCCAGCAAGGAGGATCAGTATTGCTTGTGCAGGGACCCCAACCAAGAGGAGCAGCATCACAGCACGCGATGAGCATGTATCAGTGAGAAAAGCAATGGCACCCAAGCAGCTTGCCTGGACAACTGAACAATCGCTTCTCTCACGTAGTAGCATTCGGAGGCAGGAAGCTGCCTCTTTTGATCTCAGTCCGATCCCAGTGAACTTGTCATTTTGATCAGGAGAATGGAGGAAGTCTCAAAATCACTGGAAGCCTCAGTGATAAGTCTGAATATACCCCAAATATTTAGGCCTCAAATTGATGTAATTATACCATTTAGATTTTTTTAAAACTAAGTAAAATATGTTTTGTGTTAGTGCCTGTCAAGTCGATTCCAACTCCTAGCACCCTGTGTACGGCGTTGTGACCCTGTACACGGCGGAGCTGAACCCTGGCCGGTCTTTTTGCACCATCCTGTCACCTTCTGGCGCTATATCAGACAATGCTCTGCTGCTATTCATAGGGTTTTCATGGCCATTATTTTCAGAAGTGTGTGGCCAGGTCCTTCCTAGTCTGTCTTAGTCTGGAAGCTCCACTGAAAACCTCTCCACCACGAGTGACCCTGCTGGTATTTGAAATCCCGGTGGCATAGCTTTCAGCATCACAGCAACATACAGCCACCACAGTGTGACACCTGACAGATGAGTGGTGTGGTGCCATGGCCGGGAAATGAACCTGGCTGCAGCAGTGAGAGTGCTAAATCTTAACCACTAGACTACTGGGCTGGCTAAAATATTATGCTATTGTGGTTTTTGATACTTACCAAATCTAAAATCTTGATGAAGTAAAGACCAGTGGGTAGTCTGATATGCAGAGTCGTTTCATAGGCATCATCTCCAGCGTTAAACAAGGACACGTTCAACATTAACGTCTTCATACTTCCAACAGCAAGATAGGTTTTATTTTCATGTGGCCTAAAAATTAAGTAATATTATTTAGTTCTTTTTGGGAAATAAAAATCCCATCTCCTCACTTATTTATCCCAAACTTAAAATACTAATTTGGGAAAACAACATGGGAGTTGACCCCATGCAAGTAGATGCAAATCCATGTGAAAAAGAACTCAATTTCTCTTATTTCGTATAAATTCAGTCAACTATTACCCGAGAAAAGTTTGTTTTTTAATTAGTTTGCTTTTTAAGAGTGAGTTCAAGTTCTAGCTCTGGCTCCACTTCTTCTGAAGGGAGGTCATTTAGCATTTTTAAGCCTGAGTCACCCCATCTGTACTAATAACAACTACCATTCTGTGAAGATTTGGCTCATGCACATTCCATGAAATCCTCAGAACAACACATTTATCTATGAGGAACCTGAGGCTTAAGAAACTTATTCAGGATATCACAGCTAGAATGTTCTCAAGTCTCAAGGCAAACGCAAATCTCTTCGCCTACACAGCTCATTCTCTTTACCAATTAGAGGGTTAGAAGAGCTCAAAGAAACCTTCAGTTACAGAATGTTATGATTCTATAAGCTTTCCTCAAAGATGTTCTTAGATATTGAATAATTTAAAATTTAGAAAAATTAGTTCAACCATAGAAGAATGTGACCCAAAGCAAAATATCGGGTGAGGATAATCATAACAATAGGAAAGGTCAACATTCACCTAGAACTTTAGAGTTTATAAAGTTTCTTCAATAATGTTTACATTGTATCATTCTATTCAACATCTGTATAGAAGCTTAGCGTTTGAATAAACTATGTGTGGAAATGCTAAGCACATAGTAGGCATTTAGTAGTTATTTGTGAATTGATTTAAGATGAAGTGTTTAAGGACAGAACAAGTTTCAAAATTTATGTTTTTTGTGTGTGTGTGTGTGAGGAAGATCAGCCCTGAGCTAACATCCATGCTAATCCTCCTCTTTTTGCTGAGGAAGACCAGCTCTGAGCTAACATCTATTGCCAATCCTCCTCCTTTTTTTTTTTCCCCCAAAGCTCCAGTAGATAGTTGTGTGTCATAGTTGTACATCCTTCTAGTTGCTGTATGTGGGACATGGCCTCAGCATGGCCGGAGAAGTGGTGCGTTGGTGTGCGCCCGGGATCCGAACCCAGGTCGCCAGTAGCGGAGCGGCGTGCACTTAACCGCTAAGCCATGGGGCCAGCCCTCAAAATTTATGTTTTAAGCATTACTCAAAAGATGCATGAATGACTGATTGACTATAATTGAAAGCTCCTGTATAATAGATCATTATGTTCGTTACTCTCTGATACAAAAATAGTTTTTAAAAAAACTCCCACCACAGGCTGGCCTGGTGGCGTAGTGGTTAAGTTCGAGCGCTCTGCTTTGGTGGCCCGGGATTGGCGGGTTGGGATCCTGGGTGCACACCTACGCACCGCTCATCAAGCCTGACTGTGGTGGCATCCCACATACAAAATAGAGGAAGATCGACACAGATGTTAGCTCAGGGCTAATCTTCCTCAAGCAAAAAGAGGAAGATTGGCAACAGATGTTAGCTCAGGGCCAATCTTCCTCACACACACAAAAAAATTCACACCTTTGTAGAGCTTATATAGTAAAGGACAGATTTATAAACAAATGTAAACAAATGTTACATAAATACACGGGAAAGAGTTATGAATGAAGGGCTCTGGGAGACTAGGGTAGGGAACCACTTTTGCCTGTGGATGCTTTTGCCTGTGGATGGCAAAGGCATGTTGCTTCTTGCTTTTCTACTATTTTAATTATTTAGGTTGAGCTGAATGAATATTTGAAATTTTTTTTTAAATAAAAAAGGTCTGAAAATTTCATGATTCAAGCTAAGTTAACTTGGATTTTACCCTTAACTGATTTCTTAAGTCCTCCTTCTCCAATCCAATTTTCACATTGCCAGAGAGGGTCATTTTCCAGAAAGCTAACTTGATAACATCACATGCCTGCTTAATATCCTCTGATGCCTTCAAGATAGAGTTCTGTAGTGTTCATCGGCGCATTAGTCACAAAAGCCAAGACTTAGAAACAACCTAAGTGCCCATTGACAGATGAATGGATAAGAAAATATGGTATATATACAGAATGGGATACTACTCAAAAAAAGATGAAATCTTGCCATTTTCAACTACGTAGATGGACCTTGAGAGTATTATGATAAGCGAAGTAAGTCAGATGGAGAAAGACAACTACTGTGTGATTTCACTCATATGTGGATGATAAAACCACCACCACTATCACCACCAAACACATAGATACAGAGAACAGATTGGTGGTTACCAGAGGGGAAGGGGGTAGGGGGAGGATGAAAAGGGTAAAGGGGGATATTTGTACAGTGACAGATGGAAACTAGACTTTGGTGGTGAACATGATGTAGTCCATACAGAAGTCGAAACACAGTTATATACACCTGAAATTTATGCAATGTTATAAACCAATGTTATGTCAATACAAAAAATTTTAAAAAATAATAAAAAACAAAGCTAGAAGGAAAAAAAAAATAGTTCTAACTCATTAGCACAGCATATGAGGGCTTCAAGAGCTGGCCCCTGTCTCTCTCTCCATTGCACAACTCATTCCTTTGCTTTAGTCATAGTTACCTACAAACAGGTGTCCAAACACCTGTGTTTTGTATCTTATTTCAAGCTATCCTCTGTCTTGAACATCTTTGCCCTTCATGAATCTAGTTAACTTTCACTTGTTCTTCAAGATTCAGCTTACATGTCGATGTTAAGAGTTCTTATAAGTTCTTCCAGTTGATACTCATTGCTAAGCCCTGTAACCCAGCATTGCATTCCCCCTAAGAAAAGTGGCTTCTCCCTCTCCCAAAGCACATTGGGCACCCCTATAAATGTGACATTTTCATGCTGTCTGGTTTTGCTCACCACTAGAATAAGTTATTGAGAGAAGATGCTGGGTTATGATTATCATTGTTTGCTCAGAGCCTAACAACACGATTAGTGTTCAAAAAATATATGTTATGTATAATTGTATCAAACATTAAAAAGAGTTGGGTCACACTAAAACACATGAGAAAAATTGGGAGAATTATTGGATAAGTAATTGCTAAAAGTTCATGAACTCATCATTATAAATTTTATCAAATTATAGCCATGTTTGTTCTGTGATGGTATACAAATTCCAAATGTTTCATTAAGATAAGAAAGTAAATATCTACTACGACCACATGTATGTGATGTGTGCCCCACCCACATAACCTAACATTTTAGTTGCAACATAACTACTGAATTGACCAATAAATTAATAGCTACATCAACACTGGAAAGAGGGTATAGTTTGAGAAGCAAATTATTAATTCTTATGAACCTCGGAATGTGCAAACAAAATTATAATTTTGGACACTTCTCCCCACTTTTATGCATCCAATAACATAGCTCTAAGAAACTGGACTGTTCACTTAATGCCTAAAAGTTCTTCTCCTCTTATCCTGACTTTTTTTCCATTTTAAACTTACTTATCAAAGTAGAACATACATATAGAAAAATGCACATATCCTAAGTGTACAGCTCAGTGAATTTTTACAAACAAACTTTTCCAAATACACATGTGAAACCAGCACCCAGATGAAGAAAAAAGATGTTACCAGCGCCGTAGAAATACCCTTGTGCTCCCTTCCCTCCGATTATCGCCCTCCACCCGCTATCTTGCTTTTTCTAGTATAGACTGGCTTTGCCCAGTTTTATATTTCATATAAATGGAATCAGAGAGTATGTAACCTTTGAGTATCAGGCTTTCTTAACACAAAATTTTCTTTGTAAGATTAATCTATATTGATGCATGTAGTTGTAAATTGTTTATTCTCATTGGTGTATATATATTCCATTTTGTAAATATACTATATTTTATTTATCCATTCAACAGTCATTGGGAATTCTGGCAACTCTAGTTTGGAGCTATTATAGTCTTTTGGTGAATATATCTATGTAATTCTGTTGGGTCAGTCTGTCTGTCTGTCTGTCTATCTATCTATGAGTAGATCCTTACGCTTGTTAACACAGGATTAATTCCTGAAAATTTCTAAATCTGGCTAAATTTGGCAACCAGTTTAAATTATACTAGCAAATTATATTTAAATAACAAAACATACTATATGGAACTATATTTAAATAACATAAAGTAAAGTACTACAGAATTGTTATATAAAAAGCAAGCATACCATAGAGTAGGGGTTCATAAACTGCTGAAGGCCAAATTTGAACCTCCGCCTGGTTTGGTCAATAAAGGTTTATTGGAACACAGCCATGCTCATTCATCTGTGGCCACTTCTGCACTATGACGGCAGAAGGGAGTGCTTGAGACAGAGATCTCTGTCCCACAAAGCCTAAAATATTTATTATTTGTCCCTTCATGGGAAAAGTTTGTCAGCTCTGCCATAGAGCAGTCTTATTGATGAGTATAATTAGTTTAGAAATAAGCATACCACATAATCTTACTATATTTAAAATCTATATTATTCTGACAATAATAGAGGCTTCATTATTTCAGATGGCATAGGATACAGCATTAGAGAAAACGATCCCTCAGACTTCATAGTTCCTTGGTTGGTACTCGAGACATCGAGGAGAAAGGAATGAAGAACATGTCCATATGTAGAATCTCTAGCTTCTGATCCCTGGGTTTGAGGAGTTGGATAACTCTGGAATGATGTACAATAACTAAAAAAGCAGTAATTCTAAACCATGGCTATCATTTCAGGGTGGAAGAATCTGACTCAGTGACAGTATGCTATTTCTCCCAATATTTTAGGGAATGGCTGTGATTTACTCATTCTTATGTTGTAAACCTGTGTGTTACATAAGTATGCATCTGCTTGGTGGCACTGTGTTAAATGGCAGGGAGGAAATGTGCGGACACATGGCTGTCCTACATTCCCCCTACTGTTCTATAATCATGTTACAACTAAAGGAACCAAGAGGTTCTAAAAGTAGACTTCAGCTTGACATTAAAGTTTAATTAAGACTTGTAGAAGAGCTGCCTAGAAATAGACATTTATAAAATATTCTGGCTTGTAACCAAAGCATTAGTCACTGAACACCTTTGGGAAAGAAGTTGGCACTTAGACAAGCAACAGAAGGTGAAAGCACGGCATAAACAGCTAGGTTCCAAGACAACAGCAAATTAAAGAGAAACACAATGTTCACATTTCAGCAGCCAGACTCCTGGTTTAGTTTCCATTTTTAAGCTCTTTTGCTACATTATCATAATTACAATCTTACTCTTTTGTTTTGATATATATCTTACTGTACCTTGATTCATTAACAAGGTGCCATTGGAAAGATACCCACCAGCTTTTTACATGAGACATAATAAAGGACCAGGTGCACATCTGGAAGTGCGACAAGGCTGAACCAGAGCTTTCCCAGGGAATCATAGTTCATTCTTCATTAAAACACGCATAATGCAGACTTGAAATTTACAAAGCAGCCTAGAATCCACGTAATTTAAACAAATCAAGGTACTGTGTACATACAGAATCATAACTTAATAAGTGTAAGAGGAAAAATAGGAAAATGATGTATTCAGCACCAAGGCTCTATGTTTTTCCTGAGTGAATGATATTGTTTTATTTTGCAGGAAATGCTCCCCAAGTCTTAGTATAATGAATGTGCTTTGCCTTGATAAAATGAATTAGTGCTTCCTAGCTAACTTGTTTTTAATCAAGATGCTAGAACAAAATATAATGTAAATTGATATGTACCTGCGTCAAGATATGAGAGTCACTATTATGACAAAAAAGTAGCCTACGTCAAGTGGCCTACAAGCCCAAGGAAAATTTTATCCTTTTTTGTTCTACTGACTTCAGGGAAAAAAATACTGGAAAATTCTCATCTACTGGGATACATCAGTTGCCTGACATTTAAGAGTTTATCGAATAAAGGCAAACTCATTGAGCTCCAGACTACAATAGCAGAAGAACATGGTTCGGAAGCCTGAACTAGGAATTAGCATGTTTTAGTGTATAAGGTATATAATTCATCTTCCTCAAACTCTATGAGCTCAGTGAGGCATATATTCCTGCTATCTCCATTTTAAAAATGGACAATTTTGTTAGAGTAGCTCTGTGGGGGGCTAACAGCAACGTAGCAGATGCTGCACATTGCTCACTGTCTGCCCAACAGTGGTTTCCCTTCCTAGCTGCTAACAGAACCCCAGATTATTCAGGCAGTAGGCAGCATTCCCTTGATATTGCCGAAGATAAGCCCTTAGTTCAGCTTCAGGGAATGAATTATGATCGATCTAATATGATCATGATGACTCCATTCTCCTTCAACCGTGATAGATTCAGAGGTGAGCAGGTAACACAGATCTGGTTAATCAGAATAAGAAGTCTGCTAAGGCACTTCCCTTTCTGGAAAGGCAGCCTCCAGAGGACACAGAATTTTGCTCCTGCTCCGTTTTTCTTGCTGGGAACCTTGGTGCTGCTGCAGCCACCACCTGGTGACCATGAGGGAAAAACCAAGAGAACTGGAAAGGTAACCACGAGTGTCCAGATTTGGGAAGCTGCTCACTAAAGCTGCAAGTACTTCCTTCAGCCTGCTTATATGCAAAACAATTAAGTGCCTTTATTGTTTAAGTCACTATTAGTCAGGTATTCTGTTACTTGCAGTTAAAATCATTCCTAACTGAAATGAAAGCAATTGTTCAGGAAAACTCTACATCACGTTCACTGGAAGCATGTCTGAGGTACAAAAGAGAAGTGGTGTCATTTACGTCAGTAATCACTATGAAAGACTTGATTTTAAACTGCCTATGTGATGGCTAACACCTGCTATTATATTTATAATCTTGATAGTCATATTTGTTAATCTGTATTTTGCAGTGTAAGTCCCTTTGGATGTGGTTTATTGTCCTGAGAATTTATACATTCAGGAGGAAGCCTCAACTTAATGAAAACATGAGGCGGAGTGCATAAACATGGTTTAGTTTGCTGTCGGCAGTCTATTATTGCAGTCTTGAGAAACTCATGTTCTTTACTGAGTAAACACATTTACCTAAAGCAGGTTTGTAGCTCTGGGACATATAAACACCATCAGTGCCAGTGGAGTTATAGTCAGGAGAATGTGCAGAACATATGGTCACAATTTGCCCACTATTACTGAGAAGGGAGACAGGACACCTATGTGGGAAAGGCACATTTTTATCTGATAGAGTATAATTTACTAAAAATGCAAAACAGTCTGTCAGAACCTTTCCTGTGGGCCTGAAAATTCATTAGAAGAGTTTTCGTTTGAAAATTCCTCAAAGTTGTCATTTACCTGAGAGGGAGAGCCTGTAACGTTCCTAACTGGTATAAAAGAGTGGGGCTTACGCTTTACACTGGTGTTCATGCCACTTCAAACCTCATGAAACTGAAATCTGCTGACCCGTCATTCTTTATGTCCCAGCAGCACTCTTGGGACACAAAAAAACGATAAACTCTGGGCAAATAATGTGCAAAAAATGTTTGGAATTCACTGGCAAAATTTCATTTTATAACCAAACTAAAGTTATTTTGTATCACGATCCATAAATATTCCAACTATAATATGAAAAATAACTTTTATCAAGCCTTCATATGTACCAGGTTTTGTGCTATATATTGGCCTGCATTATTGCATTTTATCTTTAAAACAACCTTACAGAGTAGGTATTATTTTACCTACTTATAAATGAGGAAAGAGGTTTACAGAAGTTAAAAGGCTTCTCTAAAAAGGTCATTCAGGTAATAAATGGTAGCTATAGAACTTGACCAGGTTAGTTTAACTTCAAATCTGGAACACTTAACCACCATTGGTTCCAAGATTTTAGTGTGATAAGAACCACTTGGAGCCCTATTAATAATGAATATTTCTGGCCTGGCCCCCATAGATTCTGATCTGGATAGTCTGGGACCTAGGAACCTGCATTTCTATCAAGCAGTCCAGGTGATTCTCATGAAGGTGACTCAGAGGCGACATCTTGAGAAACACTACCTTACCCTCTGTTGGCTGCCATTTAAAATCCTAATGGACTTGATATTTAGACTACAAAAAATATTATCACTTCAAATTAAAAATGTAAAGTAGATAATGCAGTATCTTACTGTGAGAAAATATATAATGAAGAAAAACTAATAATTCAATTAAATTAATAATTCCATATCTTAATTCAACAAGATGTATTTTCATTCTTCAGGAAAGAAGAATTCTTGGTAATATTTTCACACATTTCAAAGTCCCATTTTCTCATAGGCCAGAGGGATTGCAATGAAAGATGACACGGTGACAGCGGGAGTGTCCAATTTAAGAAAATGTAAACACTACTTATTTATAGCTTAGATAAGCTTTCCCACACACAACTCTTCTTCTTATCAAAGGCTCATGACAGCAAAAATACCAAGAAAAATAAGCATTTTAGGAGGAAAATAAATACATGAATGGGAAGGTTATAAATTATTCAACTAATAAATCAACAAAGGCACCACATTATATGCTGCAATATAAAGTAGTTAGTAGTCATTGTTTTTGGACTATCTGAGCAGCCAATCTGGATAATTTAAGTATAAAGTCCAATTATCAATCAAATAGGTTAGGGCTTCTTGGCCCTCAACTGTGGATGCTCAAGGCTATACTGGCATTGCATAAGTGAAAAGAATTAATTTATTCTCTGCCATATGTGATCCCATCCCAGCAGGGTACTCAACACTGTTTGTCAACCTATTTACTCATTCCTAGTTGACTCCCTATCCCATTTATCATAACAGCTATTTTGAATCTTTTCCCATTCCTTTCAAGTCTCCAAACCCATCCTCAAAGCCCTCACTTTCCATATATAAACATACTTTTTCTTCTGGCTATCCATGAATTCTCTACATTTCCCTTCCTTCCACATTGAAATTTGTTAATGTTAAGCATCTTTTCAGAGCTGCTTAGTTCAAGATAAGGAGAATCTTAGCTTCTTTCTAAGGCTAACTCCTCCACCTGAGTCTGATCCCATTATACCCTGATTCCTCTGTTACATTGTCAGCAAACATCTATTAGTTGCCTACAGCATTCCAGGCACTGAGTTAGGCATTGGGAACACAAAGATGAAAAGACAGGAACCTGCCTTGAAATGGCTTACAGGATAGCGTGGAGACAGACAGTAATGGCGGTGAGCGTGCAAGGGTAGTGGGGCCAGGGGCACAGTAGGAGACAAAGGGGGCTCCACTTAGGAAACAGCTGAGATTTACAAGATAAATAAAAGTTAGTCAAGTAGGTAAGTGAGACAAGTGAAAAGATACAGAGGCTCAGGAGAGCGTGCACGGCCAAGCAACTGGAAGGGGTCTGCCATCGATGGAAAGAAGTCCTGCGGAATCGGTGAGAAAGAACGCTAAGGAGTTTAGATTTTAAAGTGATAATGAGCCACTGAAACATTGTTATCAGATGTGTATGTTAGAAAGCTCACTCTGGAAACATCGTGATAGAGGAATTAGAATAATGCAAAATCAGAGGCCAGTAGCACAGAAAGCAGGAAAGCTCAATGAAGGAAGTATATTGAGTTCCTGGCTTGAAGCAACAGTGGTAGAGATAGAGAAGTACGACGGATAAAAAATACATAAGTAGTAGTATTATACGACTTAGTAATTTATTGGATATCAAGGATAAAGAAAGAAAAATGCAGGTTGAGCTCAAGCTTTCTGGCTTTGGTAACTAACTAACGGTGTCATTGGTGGATAGAGACTGGGTGCCCAAGAGGACATGTCTAAGAGACAACTGGATGTGTGGGTGTGAAACTCAGAGATACTGATTTGGGCATCAGCAGTGTAGGCAGGCCAAGCGAGGACAGAGTTGGGAACAAGATTATCTGGGGAATATATGGGAGTGTGAGAAAGGGATGAGAGAGGACCATTTAGGGAGCCAGTAGAGCCCAAATCAAAGATCCTCCAAAGACAATTGAGAAAGAGGGGCTTGAGAAGTAGGAGGAGAATAGGAGTAGGATGGTATCAAGGAAATTAAAGCAAAAGAGGAAGTGAAAAGCTGTCAAATGCTTCAGAGAAGAGTTCAAATAGGATCTGAAAAATGCCCCCTGGATTTAAGTAGAAAATTTCTCTCTCCAATTTATTCTTTTCCCTGCCTTTGACCCTCACACTTGTTTATGTCTTCCCATGATTAAATAAATAACAACATGTGATAAATACATAAAAATTCTGTAGTTGAATCTACTTATTCGCAGTATATTCTCCTTCCCTTAGTCACTAACCCTGTCATTTGGCTACTACTGCACTGAAATTTCTATCTCAAAATTTGCCAGTGACACCCTTCTTTACCTACAAGTCACATTTTAAATGCCAACTCCCATAACCTTTCCTCAGTCATTATGCTATCTGATCTCTCTACAAAATTTTACGATATTAAGTCCCTCTTTTTATATTCTCCATTGGCTATTTCACTATGGAATTGGCTCTCCTCTTAGTTCTTTTCAGTCTCCTACAGGTACTCCCTATTCTTGTTAAGCTCTTTAAAATAAAATTGTCCCCCCAACATTTGATCCTTAGTTCTTTTCTCGGTGAAATTCACATTTCTACCCCCTACCGCCACCCTGGGCATTCTCACAAGTCATCAATGTGTAGAGGACTTCCAAATACAATCCTGAACTAGATTTTCAAGTGGAAAGCTGCAGAGAGAAGTCTTACCAAATTCAACATGCCCCAATCTAAACTTCCTTCCTTTATATTCCTGCCTCCCCAAATAGTTTCCCATCTTCCTGCCCTGTCACTGATGCTTCCTTCCCCTCCTTCACTTCCCACATACAACCATCCCTCAACCTGAAGTAGGAATTCTGTCTCTCTGTTCCTCATTTTCATATCTTCCCTCTGATATGAAGAACAATTTCAGTATAGGGGATTTAGATATGTTACAAAATTATGGTTTATTCCCAACATTTATCTAGTTTTCACTATGTGCTAGGTGCTATTCTAAGCCCATTACATATGTTTTCTTTTTGCTGTTGCACCTTCTGTGAATTTAGAAGAACAAGATGGTTTATCCCTTTTCAAATGTTGTTTATATATAGAGAGAGGGATTTCTTTGTTTTGTACATCAGTCTGAATTATGTAACCAGTTTTCTGGGTGATAAAAAACTAAGCATTGGGGCCGGCCCGGTGGTGCAAGTGGTTAAGTGCGTGCGCTCCAGGGCAGCGGCCCGGGGTTCACCAGTTTGGATCCCGGGTGCACACCGACACACCGCTTGGCAAGCCATGCTGTGGTGGCATCCCATATAAAGTGGAGGAAGATGGGCACAGAAGTTAGCACAGGGCCAGTCTTCCTCAGCAAAAAAAGAGGAGGATTGGCAGATGTTAGCTCAGGGCTGATCTTCCTCACACACACACACAAAAAAACAACTAAGCATTAATGTAGTGAAGGTTAGCTCATTTTGCCATCAAAACTCTGTTAACAGGCACTTACATATGTCTAAAACATAGCTACAATTATAATGATAACCCAAGGCACGATTAAATCCTGAAATATCTTTTGACTTATCAATAAAAGATTAAAACATGCCTCATAAAGCCTTCTTTCACAAAGTGGTAATCTTTGAGTATATACTTATGTGAATGATGTATAGATCACTTAATCTCTTACAGTAGAATGTTGTTCTTTTCCAGTTCTTTAAATGCTACTAACCCCCGAAGATTAGTTCTTAGTTCTTTTCTCTTTAGAACTACCACATGCACACACCCATTAACCCATCTTGATGAATAACAGAGAATAAACTATACTTACTTCAAAAATCCAATTTTTGCAGAAACCTGTAAATCAGCAGAACAATTTTCGTGGGCACAAAACCTTGCAAAGTTTATCTGGAAATAAAATATGACAGTATTTTTTATTTTAGTTAAACTCAGTAGGTATATTTCTGTGTTTTTTAAAGAGTAAGACATCTATGATACATGAGAAAAATGAAATTAATAAATCAAATTGATAACTCCTTATTTTATCCCATTTGAAGAGTTCAATTAGAAAATTAGTCAGTAGGTTCAAGTGACAAATAATTGCAGCAGGGCTAAAGGAACTAAGTTCTTCCAATAGGTACATTTAAAGCCTAAATTTTTTAAGTAGAAAAAATGATTTTTTATTTCATAACAGCTGTGTAGAAAAATAAGTTGAATCAAACTGCGGTAGTAACCTATGTAAGGGTTTAAAACCTGTGCTGCCAAGATGTTCTTGGTTGAGTTCCTCTCAATTTTCTGGTAATGCAGTAGTCTGATCCCACTTATTACGCAAAAGCATGGCATTTAATTTTTGCAGATGGTAGGACAGTGATTTTATATTCATTGAAAATAACAAAATGTAGAAATTTAGAAATTTTATTTTGAGGATATATTGAACAAGATTAAATGATAGTCTATCATAAAGGTTCCAGAATTTATTTAACTCTAAGCATTTTAATAGGACTCAGAGATACTATAAGGTTCATGGGAAGACCTGAGGTATAAGCTGGACAAAGCCAAAATGGAGAGAGATAAAAATGAAGAAAGCTGAGCAGAATAGGTAAAGAGGGAGAGATGCAGGAAAAGAAATCTAGAAAGTCAGAGGAGCCAGGCACCTGAAATGGGAAGTGACCGGTGAGCTGTCAAACAGCACATCAGACCACAGACTGCCTACCTGGGGAGCTGACGGAAAGTGTAAATCTTTCTCTAAGTGATTAAGTAAATATGATTTTTCTTCTACCAGTCTTATTTGTTTATTTGTTTATTTATTTATTTTGTGTGTGTGTGTGTGTGTGTGTGTGTGAGGGAGATCAGCCCTGATCTAACATCTGATGCTGATCCTCCTCTTTTTTTTGCTGAGGAAGATTAGCCCTGAGCTAACTTCTGTGCCTCTTCCTCTACTTCATATGGGACGCCGCCACAGCATGGCATGACAAGTGGTGCGTCAGTGCGCGCCCGGGATCCGAACCCGCGAACCCTGGGCCACTGAAGCAGAATGCGTGCACTTAACTGCTTGTGCCACGGGACTAGCCGCCCTACCAGTCTTATTTGTAAATCAGGCTGTTCTAAGAATCAAAATTATGTTATTCTAATATAACTACAAATTGCTAAGGTTTTGGCTTGTGTAATTACAATATTGAGATTTCCATTATTGAAGACATTTAAAAATAGTTGATATTGAAAACTGAAGTTCAACAGAAGAGTGAAAAAAATGGACTTCATCAATATTTTCATCTAAGGGTATAGAGAAAATGTGCTCTGAAGTTATTATCTTCATTCAGTCTAGTATTGTAGACCAGACAGTGGTGATTGTAAGGTCAAATATCTTCAAGTGACCAAAGGGCAATTTTGTCTGGACAGGATATGAACTAGACCTTTAAATGTCCCTTTCATCTTTAACATTCTGTGTGCCATTAGCAAATGTTTAATGAATGCTTTTACCATGCCCCAAAACATCCTGTTGACTATGTCTTTGTGCTGTTGGACAGTAAAGGTCTGAACAACCAGACTCCTGGGAATAAACACAATGTCAGTGAAACTGATATATCTTGGGATAAATTAGAAAAAGCAGTTCACTGGTTAGAATGCAGCATCCATCTCAAAATGCAATTGATCCCGGGATGTGGATGAAAAACACAAAGTTAAATTTAAAAAGAGAAATTGTTATGTACCATAAATACATATGTTTATAAATGAGTACAATCTAGCAAGGGAATCTGACTAACAAGACACGAGTGAATCCGTGGGTAGGGTGAGTGAGACGGAGACAAAATGAGAGAGAGGGAGACAGAAAATGAGAAAGAGAAACTGAACACAGATGATGACAGTGAATAACTAACTCATGAAGCCAACTCACTTCCATTTTGAGTGCTTTCTAGTAATACAGTTTCTTCACTGGCAATGCATTGAGGAGAGAAAATTAACATTTTACGTATATGGGAAACCACTGCTATGACTAAATGCATATTTTAAAATATTCAGTTCAATATCCTAAAGGGAATATAAAAAATAAAGAAAAATGGAAAACAAGATATATCATAAATCTCTTTATTAAAAAATTCATAAAAAATTTAAAAAAATTCAGAGATAACTCATTTCCCCAGAATTATGCAATATTTCAAAAAAAAATTCTTTAGTTATATGTCACATAATGTTGTGAATAAAGAAAAATATACCTACTGTTTTTTCAATGATGTCTTTTTCTTTCTTCTGCTGAAGAATTGGCTGAAGGGGTGGGAATTCCTCAGTACTTCGTTTACTGATGACATGAGGCCCAAGGTGGTAAGCAGCTTCAATCTGAATTGGGGTGAGGATGTCTCGCACATCTTTCTAAGGAAATTTAAAACCACATAAATTAATAATAAAAATAAGCATGTAAATAAAATACAAAAGCTCCTCCTTTCCTACATAAGGCCAAACACAACACATGGAAGCCAAAGAAAATCCTTATCTTTTAATCTAAATTGTGATAAAACTGAACATGTATATTTTTTCACAACAGCATTTATGTTTATTAGAAAAAACACAAAAAGTATAAAAAAATGAAAAACTATAACCATCCAATAATAGTTATAATGGTCTACATTTAAGCATATTTTCTTTCATGCTATTTTCTATGCATACTTTTCATAACTTGACATTACAGCATGAGCATTTTCCATTATAAACTCTGTAAATCACTTCAAAATGCTAATCAACATTTTATTCTATTTCACATTTCCCTGTAGTAGACTTGTGGAAATATGATCTCTCTCTGAATTTATTCAGGGTTTCTTTTTATATCTCTCAGTAACCTTTTGATTCAATTTGATTCGTTTCATATTTATTATGAAACATATCCAATTGCATTTTCTAACAGGTTACAAATGGCACATAGGAAAGTTATTTGTTTTGTATATTTAATCTTTAATCCTAGTTACTTTACTGAATTTTCTTACTAGTTGTTGCTGTTTTTCTAGGTTTATTGTGCTTTTACACTTTATAAAGAAAGAGTTCTTGGATTTATTTATTGATTACACAGGAATTGTACCCCATTCAGAATCCATTCTGCTCTGTATGATATTCTTCTAAATTTAATATCATTCTAATTTTTACACAGTGTTTCTCATTCCTAATCTTATTCATATGTGGTCAAAAAGTCTTTCTGAATCATTAGATTTTTAAAGTGTATTGTTTTTTGCACTCAAAGAAACAGCTCGAGTTTATTACATTGATTGTCAATTCATATATTTTAACTTTTATTTCTACATGCAGGTATTATTTTTCTCTTTTTTGAAAACACTTTCCAATGAACTTAAAAATTATTTTATCTATTCACTTGATTATTTGCTAGCTTCCTCATTAAAAGGGGATATACATTACTTTCAAAATTATTTACTAACATACATATGCACAAACAGTAAAATAATCGACAAGAAAGTAACTTCGAAAGCACTTGGCATACAATTAACGAAGCCCTTCACTAGATAGTAAAGGTGTTCTAGAATCTCAAGTCTATGAAAAAAATATATGTGAGCCAGCCCTGTGGCATAGTGGTTAAGTTTGGCATGCTCCACTTTGGTGGCCTGGGTTGGGTTTCTGGGCGCAGACCTACACCACTGGTCTGTCAGTGGCCATGCGGCGACCCACGTATAAAATAGAAGATTGATACAGATGTTAGCTCAGGAAGAAACTTCCTCAAGCAAAAAACGAAGAAGATTGGCAACAGATGTTAGCTCAGGGCAAATCTTCCTCAGCAAAAAAAAAATATATATATATATATATGTGTGTGTATATATATATATATATGGAATCACATAAGATATAAGACATGGCATCTCTTAGAAAGCACCTCTCTGAGCCCTCCCTAGACGGAAATGAGATTTTCAAAGTGTATTGAACAAAACAGACTATTTTTTTCTTTGCTTATTTAAGAGGGTGGGCAAATAAGATTTTACTATAAAGTAATCCATGAGGATTTATAACAGAATTCGGTTGACAATTTAATTAAATTACATGAAATAAGACATGTTGATGGCAAATCTATGAAACAAGTATTCTAAGCACAACAAAAATTGAAGGTAGAAATGATCTCAGGATTTGAGAGGGCAGTCACAGTCAGCAGATACAGTCCATCTATACAGGAACTATGCAGTTTGTATTTTTCTTGGTATTAGAATTGTCGCTATAGTTGGAAGATATTTGAAGAATTGGTCACACACTTGAATGTCTCTCATACTCACAATTTAATTGTAAATCTGAGTTTTACTCCACTTTTCATATGGCCATTTCAACCTACAGGTTCTTCTCATTTAAAAAAATAGATTCAACAAAATCCCTCTTGACCATTAAAGAAAGAGATTCAAGTGTTTCCATCCGGGCCAGACATAGTAACTTACATCATAATTTAGGTTTATATTTATATTAACTTGGGGAGTTCCTCAGTAGCTCCATGACAGTAATTGACAGACCTTCTAGTGAGTAATGTTAGTCGATCAGGTTTCTATTCATCTATAGACATCTCACAATTGGAATATGGCTTAAACATTACTGCCGGAAAGCAAGTAAAGAACAGATTTCCAAAGCTCCTTGATTAATAACCCCTAATGGATAGAAAAAAATACCTATGATACAGATTATTGCTATGCTACTTCCATTTATAATAACTTTTGATAAAAATCAAAGAAGTAAATTAATAAAGATGACATATATCACATAAAAGCCTACATCTATTCTATGTCTTTATGTAATTATTAAAAAAGGATGTAATTTTTTCTTCTTTTCTTGTCATTTACAACATTATCAATATACGTATGCAGTGGTTAAAAGCAAGTGATCTGGACGTAGACTACTAGGTCTCAAATCTCAGGTCCATCACTTATTATCTCTATAACTTTGGGCAAATTACTCAATTTGTCTATAGCTCAGTTACCTCATTTGAAAATGGGAATAGTGATAATGATGATGGTGATGATGCCTACACCTATTATTGTGAGGATTCAGTGGCATGATGTCTGTCAAACACTTAGCACAATACCTGGCACTTGTTAAGGTCTCAATAGATCTTAGATATTATCATTATTATGTGTATGTTGCTTCAAAATGTACCTATATAAGCCAACCAAGGAATTACTGACTTTCAGTTTCTTATAATAAGAAATTCTGGTGAACATTTGGAAGGAATAAGAAAAAAGAAACTTAGACTATTGCCAACCAATGAACATTAAATAGAAAATGAGTTACGCAACAAGTATTAGAAGTGTATTAATTAAGAGGTACCTGGAAGAGTTGGAGCATGAACCAGAGTACTCAAGATCTCTCATTATTTTTCCATTCTTATACTTGGAGACAATTTTATTAATTTCCTTGATAAGTGATCATCTCAACATGAAACCTTGACCATATAGGAATGCCGAAAATCAAGGCCCAAATCCCAAGTTATCAACTTGTGAAAACGGAACAGCTTGAAGCCCTGAGTATTACAATAGCAAACTTGATTAAATTATTCCCTAGGTGTGGGACTAGACAGCCACTGATTGTCCCTCCACATGTCCACTGTTTTAGTTCTTCTCAACAAGCTTGCTTTGACCAAATCACATGTTATCTAATTCATACTAATTTTCCACAAGGTCTTCTCTACATCTGGTGTATATTACTTTCATTATCCTAATTAGCTATTAATTATGCTTTTCTCACAATATATAAAATGTACATGCACTCTTGCAAGAACTGTATTTGACAGATACTCACACTTATTTAACTTTAACAGCTCCACCTAAACACAAAAGCTGTAATACCAAAAATGTCTTGAAGTGACTAATTAAGTATTGGGAGAGAAAAAGTAGATTTGCTTAAAGTTTTTAATTTGGATGGGCATGTGCTATCTATATTAAAAATAATGAAGATTCTGTGCCACATTTTTATGGACAATTACATAATATAGGGCACCCAGAAGCATGCAAATTAGCACATGCCTGAAATTACACAAAGTCTGCCTTCTTGTTTGACTTTCACAGAAATTTGTATTTATGGCCAACTTGAGAACAGAGTTTTAGGCCCATGTCCTTTTGTGTTTATGTAGTGAAGGAATTTATTTAAAGGGTGGAGCCAGAAATATTTATAAAGTGTTGCTGAATGAAAAATGATGTTGAGGTATAAACATAGATATCTACTCACGGGTCTACTGTGTGCAAGGAAGGCTCTAGGGATACAAAACTGAAAGTTAGTACCTATGTCACAGTCTGTAACCCGTAAATCCACACATATAGTGTGGGGGCTGAATGTTCTGATATATGTGTACACAAGTACAGAAAAAGGAGGGCAACCTAATCTATACCTGAAAGGGAAAGGGTAAGGAATATGTTTAAGTGTGTCTTTTTGAAATACCTCTCTAGTGCCAATGTGGAGTATGGGTTGGGGTGGGAGAAGGTAAGACTAAGGCATAGATTGGAACCTGAGCCAGCAGCACCATGTGTAATTGTAATCACTTTATCTAGTAAGCTCGGTTCAGAAGATGGAGAACTGTCAAACATCTGACACTTCCACTGAGAAAAGACAACACCAAGACAGATGCCTTAACCATTATACCAGTGGAACATTTTCAGAATTTCTCTTACAGAATTCTTTAAATAACACCGAGAACATATCATCCATAAATTTACTAAATATTTATTGGCCTTCTGCCTTATGTAATGAGTTGTGTTAGCTCTAAGATGAATACAAGCATACAAAAGATAATATCCTGTTTTCAAAGATCTTGCAATCGAACAAAGAATTAACACATGTTGGAATAACCAGTCCACTTCTAGAATACCATGATATCAGTATAGTTATATAGTTTGCTTGCACTTAGATTTTCAGCAGAAATGTATGCATATCTGGATCAGTCCATAGTGTGCTATGGTTAAAATATAACCACTTTGGAGCAAATGGTGTTCCATTAAACTATGTGCTTGTATAGTAACAATATAAGCAAATAAAAAATACAAATAAAATATATTTACTAATCAAATACACTTTCACTTGCTTGAAGTTGTTACTGAAACAGATGGGTTTTAGAAGTCATCTAAAGACCCATATAACAAAATAAAATTCCTTTACTTCAGAAATCCAAAATCCAGAAATTAGAGAAGCCAAGGGAAAGAAAAAAATTAACTAATTCTCTATACAGGTAGGCAGGTTGATTTCATGATTTTTATACAACATGCTAAGGCCACTGAACTCATTGGATCTCAGAATATCAATAGAGACAGGCATTCCTGGGCCAATGACTAAGCTACATTATTTCTAGCTTTTGTTGAAAATGCTGTAAGCAGGAAGGGAATGCTGTTACTTCATTTGTTATCCCAATGAAGCACCCTTCTTCTCTTCTCAAATATCAGTGAGTATTTTGATGCAGAGATTCCATCAAGATCAACCAAGAAATATCATCTATAAAAACCTTAAGGGAAGTCTCACTACCATGGCTGCTCCAACATATCTAAAAACTGCTGTAATTGATTGGGTTTCCCTAAATCAAAACAGCCTCAAAATTATCCCTTGTCCTAAGATCTTGTCCTAAGAAATCTCTAAGATCTAATAAAATTGTATATTTGAATACAGCAAAGACAAAGACTCATTTTCATATGCTTACATGGATGGAGAAATATATTTTCATAGAGAGAAAAGTGATGACTAATAGAAGAGAATTTCAATAGATAAAATACTATAAGGTATAAAAAAATTAACCATTTCCCTTACATCCTAGAGACCTTTTATGAACTCTCAACTCTAAATTCTAGGTTCTACTTTTGTAAAATCTGATAATTTTATGCCTCTAACAGCAAAATTTAAAGCTTGACATAACTATAAAGAACTAAAATATAATAGAGTTTTTTAAGAAAAAAAATAATTTCTACCTTCCTTTCTATTTTCTGAGGAACAAATTTTGACCATTCAAGTAAAACAATCCTGTGAGACTGTTTTAATTATGAGTAGATTGAGAAGACTTGAGAAAACTGATGTGCCTACCAACCAGATAAATGACCATATATTCTCAGAAAAAGAACATACCAGAAAATGTACCTGCTAGTGATATGGATGCTTTTAGGTTGTTAAAAATATCTCCTATATTCCTAGAAGATCCAGCAAGGAATTAGAGAATGTATGATTAAAAGAGAAGGATTTAATAAAAGCTCAAGTTTGGTAATGAGATTTGGGGTTTTTTTAATAGCCAAATACTCTACAGTCAAAAAACATGAAGGTTTTATAAATACAAATAGGTTTAAAGACTTTCATTTGCATGAGATAATCAAGGAATTATGAGCAAAAATAAAAAGAAAATTTAATCTTTTCCTCACCTTCAGGTCCCCAATGGCTTTTACGTGTTGTAATATTGATGAGATCTTTCCAGCTCATTCCCTTTAATACTCAATTCTAACAATTTGCTGATCCCCCTGGGACATCCAATTCAACTTTTTTTACCCCGTCCTTCATTCTTTCAATGTCCTCTCTCCTTGCCTTACCTTGCTTAAACTTCGTGGCCAACAATATAACCACTCCCATGCATGTTCCCTCGACTCTTGCCCCTCCTTTGCTTCACGCTCTTGGCAAACCACAGCCCTGGTTAATTGTAACTCTTCATCTACTCCCACCTGTAAGGTTGAATGTGACTGGAAAAAACCACAGTCATACTGATAATCTCACTTTACGACTGTGAGTGCAAGTTAGACCCTAATGCCATCTCACAACCAGTGTACTTCCTTACTCTCCCACTCTCCGAGAAGATGATTTCATATCTTCTTCCCAAACTCCAAATACCACTTCTCCTATCCCTACTCAAGCTAATGACTTTGCTTCTCACTTCACTGAGAATATTAAAGCAATCAGAAAGAGTTTGCTTTACGATTCAGGACACCACAGTCCTCCCACCACATCTACCCAGCATCTGCAAGCCCATACACAGATAAACTACGCATGTGCCTATCTAGAACCAAGCCTCTCATTTGTACAATGAATCTCACCCCTCTTGCCTTCTCAAGAACTTTGCTCCAACTATTCTCTCCTCTCATCTATGTCATAACTTTTTCACTCTATTGGAGGACATTCATTAGCATAAAAACATGCTATTTCTCTTATTTAAAAAAAAAAAAAAAAAGAACGCTTCACTCCACTTCTCTTGTCAGCTACTGACTCCCAACTCCATTTCTTTGGTTCCCTTTGGAGTTGGAGCAAAGTTTTGTGAAAGGATAACTATACTCTCTATCTTCAATTCCTTTCCTCCTCTTCCCCTACTGCTCCTCTGAAATGCTGTTGTCATGATCACTAAGAGCCTCCACATTGCTAAACCCGATGGTCAGTTCTCAGTCGTCATCTTATCTGACAGAGCAGCAGCATTGAGAACATCGTCATGCCCTCCTTCTTGCTCTGCTTTATTCACTTCACTCCCAGGATGCCACAAACTCTTGGTTTTCTTCCTTACTTACTGATTGGTTCTTCTCTTCTCCTTTGTAAACCTTCTCTTCTCTCCAACCTCTTCACGTTGTAGTGTCCCAGAGTGCAGACTTTGGCCTTCTTCTCCTCCTGGAGTGACCTCAGCCATCTCGTATGGCTTTAAAAACCATCCATATGCCGAAGAGGCATTAAGTTATATTTCCAGCTCTAGGCCTCTCTCCAACTCCAGATGAGTATACACAAATGCTTAATTGATATTTACACTTGAAAGTAAAACAGGTCTCTCCAGCTCAGCAGGTCCAGAACTGAACTCCAGAATTTTCCACCCAGAAGTTGTTTCTCTTGTATATTCTGTCTTGATTGATAAAAACTACATTCTTCCCAGTTGCTTGGGCTAAAGATCTTGAAGTCATCTTGGAGCCTCTCTTTCTCAAATGCCAAACTTCCAATTTGTCAGCAAATTGTGTAGGCTCTGTCTTCCAACTATTTCTCACCATATCCACTGTTACCACCTTCATTGGAGCCATCATCTCTCACCTGGGTTATTGCAGTATTTTCTTCTCCCTGTGTCAACCCTTAGTCCTGTACTGTCTAGTCTCAACATCGCGGCTAGAGTATTCCTTTTTATTACTAAGTCAGACCATGTCACTTCTCTGCTCAAAACTCTACAATAGAGCCTCATTTCACTCAGAGAAAAAGTCACAGGTCCTATATGATCTGACTCTTTCTCCCCCTAGTTCACTTTTCCAGCCATCCTTGCCTCCCCATTGTTCCCTAAAACACCAGCCACATTCTTGTCTTGAGGGATTTTTACCTAGCTCTTCTTTCTATATTGTTCTCCTAGATCAGAGATTCTCTGAGTATGATTCCAGGTATCAGCATCACCTGGGAACTTTGTAGACATGCAAATTCTCAGGCCTCACTGATGACCTACTGAATCAGGAACTCCAGGCGGGGCCCAGTAATTGGTGTTTTAGCAAGCCCTCTAGGTGGTGCTGTTGAATGCTAAAGTTGAGAACCACTATCCTAGACACCTATACTGATAACTCGCTTCCTTCTTTCAAGTCTGCTTACATGTCACCTTCTGAATAAGGCCAACTCTGACCACCCCATTTAAAATTGCGCTCTTTACTCCTTATACAGCACTCCCTAATTCCCTGTACTCTGCCTTCTTTTTTCATTTTTCCATCATTATCTTCTTCTAAAATACCATAAAATTTAATTCTTGTCATGCTATTGTTAGTCTCACACCACTAGGCTATAAGCTCCATGAGGGTAGTCATCTTTTTATGTTTCATTCGCTGATCTACAGAAGTGTCTCAAACAGATTCTAACACAATAAATACCTCTTGAATTAATTGAGTGGATGGATAAATGGAGCTTAATTGGTATAGCCAATAAGAACAACTATACAAGGAAAGCATGCTTAACTAGCAGGCAGGGAGCCCTCTGAGAGGTGGGGGCTGCAGGCCTAAGTGCATAATAAAGAAGTGTCACCTCATTTCATTGTAAGGGGTGCCGAGGTAGAATCCATATGTATATTAACATTCCTGATCCTGGACATGTTTTATGGAACAAAGGAAAAATCCAGGCATCCTGACCACTGTCCCTCTTTTCTTCTATTATTAGGAAGATAGAAGAAAATTCAGGTTGCTGTTCTATTCTTCCAGACTACAGAAGCATTGCAGTGTTAATATGTTTCTGAATGCCTCGGGCACCATGCTGGTAGGGGTGGAAAATGCACTCATTATAACCCCACGCGTTCCTAAAGGACAGCTAGAGCTCCTTGGCAGAACTCAAGGTTGAGGCAGCTGCTTCTGTGGTTCTTACATCCACCTGGATTTGTTGCAAGTGAGAGGGTTGGAGTCGCCTTTTGTCTTTCTATATATGAGTTTTAAAATGTGCCAAACAAAAGCAAGGTAATTCAGGACAGGGGAAAAAATATTGGAAGAAACAATCACTTTTTAAAAAAGTCCCTACCATGTGCCAACCCCAGAGCTAAGCGCTTTTGTTTGACATTGACAAGAGGCCCAAAGTCAATGGCTGTACCCGCTGCCGTTGACACCATGGTAACGTTACAAGTATATGTGCAACAAACAGAGAAACCTCTGCTAAACGGTCATTTCTACTACAAATTTATCCCAAAGAAAGTGTACAGTTTTGATGAACCCTTAGTCATAGGAATAATGCCAAGAAACAGGACTAAATAAATCAGATCAATTTGCTGCCATTTATACAAATTCAAAATAATATGTTTCTTTGTGAATGTCTAATGTTGGCCTTTTTATTACCTTCAAAATGGTCTCCATGTTAGTCTAAAATTGATCAACCTAAATAAAATCACAACTATGTAGGGTTAAAAAAAAAGAACTTCTTTAATCCCTACCATTTAAATGATGGTTACCTTAATATCATCCTATACTTTTGGCTCTCAACTATCTAATAGCTTAATTCTAGTACAATGATAAAAACTGTTAAGGGAAATGAGGGAATAGCATAGGGATTATTGCTCTTAGCATTTAATAGTGCATTGGAGTCCTGATGCTAGTTTGCATTTGCTTGGAATAAGTATCTAAGGGAAAATTAAGTTCTAAGCTGAGGCTACCATTTGAAATCCCAGAAAGGTCTCCTGGGAATAGTTTGGTTTTTTTTTTTTGTGACAATAGATTTTCTGATGAAGTACACCATTCCCTAATGAAAAAGACCTGGCACTGCTCCATATAATAAAATTTGACCACTGCAAGGAATGTGATGATCAGTTTGGGAATGAGTGTTTTAATAAAAGAAACACGAAATCAGCTATGTTTTGGCAGGACACACCCCAAACCATCACGAGAGCCGAGGTCCTTGCCCACAGATGATCCCCGCCACGCTACAACTGTGCAAGTTCCCACTGACACCACTGACAATGCTGGCACGGAGACAAAGACATAATCCAAAAGCAGTCATATTGGATCCAGCTTCATCAGAGTCACATGAAAAACAAACCAACTTCCCCACCTCCCGCCCACTCCCCTAAAAACCCTACGGGAGAATAGATCTGAGGCTCCACAGAGCTACTCAATATGTACATTTCTAGGCAAGTACATAAACAGGGATAGGAAAACAGCAATTGTAGGAAAAAAAGGCAAATCTTTAAAAATAGTGATGCAGTAAAAAGTGATAAATGTGAAACAAAAAGTAGACATTGAATTATCCAGGTGACAGGATTATCTAACATTTTGACTCTGGAACAACAGGTCAGCTAGTTGAGGAGGGGATAACACTTGCTTTTAACAACATTTTATAAGAAGATGCCAATGCAATAAGATTTTTAGCGTATTGAGAATATTGAAGTTTACATATTCATTAAAAAAACTAGTTTACATTACCCGCATAAATGCTTGATGGGTTCTACAGCTAGCCGCTTTGCTTGATACTCTTATGCTTCCTGTAATCACATCAGAAGTCCCATTAGAAGAAAAGTAAAATCTTGATGGAGACTCTGCCTTTCGGTTCACATCCAGACTCATGTTATAAAACAAAACTGCAAAAATGTAGAAAGAATTGCAATTAATATAAATAATTATCTAAAGGCATTTACTTCATTATTTTCGAAGTGATAATAGTCAAAGTTATATAGAATACTGGAAATGTCTTAAATTCTCTTCACTAAATAGCTTTTTAAAAACTAACCTGAAATATGAAAGAGGGAACAACTTAAAACTACAAATTTCAAAAATTTTTTATAAATTAAAAAAGATTTATTAACTTTTCTCTAGGTTTCTATTGTTAATATTAACATCTTTAGTTATTTGCTTAATCCTCCTATATATGAACATTTCAAAAGTACAATATCAAAATTGTTACTAATAATAAAAGTCCTGGATAAAGTTTCAGATTTCTTTGAGTTTTTTTTGTCTTTAGAACGTTCCACTAAGGAAGTACAGGCAGAGTACTGTGCTCAAACATCACTTAGAATAATTCTATCTTGTGTGGTTACATAACTAATTTCATATATAGTTAGATCTTTTATTTCCGTTTGTTTCCAATTTGAGGGGTTGCCATTTTTCTTTGGATATTTTTTTACTGTACAGTGAACATATGGTTCAAAAGTCAAATCTATGTAAACAGTCGACTCACAGACATCTCCTCTCCAGCCCTATGCCCCGATTATTTCTCCTCCATGTTTTTACTGGTTTCTAGTTTGAACTTCTAGTGTTGATTCGTGCAAAAATAAACAAATATAGATAGACATTCTCTCAATCAATATTCCGTCAGTTCGGTAAAAATTTATTTCAAATCTGACATAGTAAATAATCACTTGCTAAAGAAGACCTTCAATAAGCAAAAAAAAATGGAAATTTACAAGCAACCAAAAACTCCAAGCCAGATCTTACCAAGAAAGGAAGAACTATTTCTTGAATCTAAAAGGGTTCTTTGTCAGATTGGTGGTTGCCAGAGGCAGGAGGTAGGGGTGGGCGAAATGGGTAGAGGGGAGTCAAAAGGTACAAACTTCCAGTTCTAATATAAATAAGTTCTGGGGATGTAATTACAGCTTAGTTATAATTAACAATACTGTATTGCATATGTGAAAGTTGCTACAAGAGTAAATCTTAAAAGTTACTACAAGAAAAAAAATTTTTTAGAACTCTGTATGGTGACAGATGTTAACTAGATTTATTGTAGTTATTTCACAATATATACAAATATCAAATCATTATGTTGTACACCTAAAACTTATTTAATGTTGTATGTCAATTACACCTCAATAAACAAATTTAAAAAAGGATTCTTTGCAAAGCAAGCTACATCTAATAGTCTTCTGAGATGTCACTCATTATGTAGGAGCAATAATTATAAGTGATTTTTATAGAATTTATATAATTCTTCAAATGTTCGTTTACATTTTAGGAGTAACTCACTCTTCTGGAAGGATTTTATCTACTTATTTCAAGGAAACATAAGTATAAAACCTGTATTACTCCTACAAATTTTAAATAAATCTCTGAACTTTTCTTTCATTTAGAAAATAAATAATAAAGTCCAAATCAATTGGCTTCAAAATTACAATAACTGAAATTCAGTGCCTCGGAGATAGAGTTGCAATTGAAATAGCCATCTATAAATTCATCACCCTGACTTCAGACAAAAAGTAAATGAAAAAAGGCTGAATAAAAATCCACTCACAATAAGAAGCAAAATGTCCCGGTTTTATTAAATAGGCTTACCATGTGAATTATTTCTCCCAAGGAGTCATTTTATGACAACTCTAAAGCATGTTTTTGTAACAATGCTGTGATCATTTATGATTCATATATTTATTTTCAACCATTTTAAAAACTATCTGGTCACAATGGAATTGGTAGTACAATAAGCACAGATTTTACATAAAGAGAAATTATCCTATCAATTTACCATGCATCTTTCAGATAACCTAGCAGCTTGTCTGTGTTACTGGGGTCACGCTCTCCAGCTGCCACTTCTCCAGTCAATAACCAGATGAAGGTTTTGCCCACTGTCCTATCACTGCATCTTTAACAAAAGACTTTTGCAGAGCACTATCAAAAATGAGTCTGATCTAAAGTAGAGATACCAGGCTCAATCTGTACTTCTCATTACAGGCTAATTCAGACTGAGACCTCTGTTACATATCCTTAGTTTGGTTCAAGAAGTATTTGCTGTCCTTCAGGATGTTAAGATGATGACTAATCATCTCTTGATGGGTCTTGTGGGGCTCATGAACTTTGTGAATTAGTAACGTCCAAATGACAAACTCAGGTATGCCTCTCTCCTACCATGAGCTAGTTTCATTAGTAGTTATTCTAATATTAGCTTAAATGTAACATAATTAGGAACATTAACCTGCTAGAAAAAATGTAATACTTATCAAGTCACATATATGTGATTTGGGATTAACCACAATTTTGGATGAGCCATATCAATGCTATTTCTCCAGAGCAGATAATTGAGAGTTGCCTATGCATAGGGAAATGGGCATGGCTCTCAGGAGCTGATAGTCATAGTAAATCCTTAAGAGATGTGTGTTATTTATCGGAATTAGAATCAGGGTCTAGACTCCAGATAAGCTTCTTCAATTACTCAAACAGGATAGGACATGAAGAAAAGAATCTTCTCCCTCTCAGGCCTTCCAGCTTAAGCCAGCTCCAGGCTTTAAGGAGCCCAGTAAAATGGAGGAGGAGCTGTGGTAATGTTCTTTCTGTTCTAAAGAGACCACAGAGTATGCCCAGTTCATTCACCTCAAATAATATAGCAAGTGATACTCTTGCTTCGCATCTTGCTATAACCTCTAAACAACTAGAGCTTTAATGGGCTCCACTCATAGGTGAGAACAATGTGAGAATATGGAAGATGAGGAAGAAAGCACCATCAGGTGGCTGCTCTCTCCTATCCTAAAGAAGACCTCCATGGTGCAACACAGTGAGGGCTCCAAAGATGATTAGGAGATTAATGAGTGAAGCGAAGTGCACATTCTTTCAGGCATTAATTCTGTAAGGGCACCCTTACCAATATAACCTGGAACCTTTTTGCCCTTATATGAGAAACAGAGTTTTAGATCCATGCACACAGAAGGCAATCCATTTTCAATACAGTCAAAATTCGTTCTATTTACTGACTCAGGATGGTTTAAAGAAGCTTCCACAATCACTACAGGTCTTGTCCTAAGGAGGAAATGAAATTAGCAATATTAATTACATAATTATTTTCCCTTAAAAAGGCAATTGCATTTGTTTTGTCAGTTTCCATTGATCAAGTAATTTCACAGAACTGCTTTATTAATAGGATGTGCGTATATACTCAATTACATTTCCATGTAGTTGGAAGAGCAATTTTCATTTAAATTTATACAAATATTGACTTTGATGATTTGTTTAATTTTATCTATGTAAAGTGGGAAAAGTACCCTAAAGTTCAATAATTAAATTTCAGAATACCAAAAAGAGCATTATGAGGTCACCACCACTGCTGATTTTAAGAATTGCCTCCCATCATTTACAATTAAGCCCAACTGTCATTAAGCAGTGAGATCTATCACCCTCACCTTAGCAACACAGCAGAATCAGACCGAAAAGCACCAACTGCTACATCTGAAGGATGAAAAACAACGCAGATTAATCATCATCATTAGTCAAAGAAAATTACTTTTCAGCCATAAATACCTAACTACATATCACCTTTTGACTATATCAAAACACTATTCATAGAAAATTAGCAAAGATATGCTTACGTCTTAAGATTCATTCCATATTCGTCTGAATCTACTCATTTACAATGACATTCATCCCTTTGTAATATAATAACATAAACTTTATGATATAAATTTATGATACTATACAGATAGGTTTACTAAAACAAAATTCAATTTTTGGACTAAAAATATTCACCCAGAAATATCCTTTCAAATTACAAAAAAAAAAAAGTTTCTTTTTATCATTATATGTTTGATTTATTTTCACGGATGCTTTTCATTTTTTCAAGAACAAAGACTAAAGCCTTAAGTAACTACCAGTGTAAAGCTCAGGAATTACTTGATCATTTCTGACCCATCCTTAAATTCAAAAGAGCTTTAAAAATGAAGGGAAAAAAATCAGTAAGTTAAAACTCTTCCATACTAGCGTAATGTGCTTCACAATAAAGCAACGCCCACAGTAGAGCCCACCCCAATTTATAAAATACAGTCAATTTTAACTCACCTACATATCCATTATTATCTGCATCAATTTGTCCAGATATAGACTGTCCAAACATACTTAACGACTTGCTGATTTGGAGTCCTTCAATTCTCTGAAAAATAGATAAGTTGAGTGGGACGCAATTTTGAACACCTAATATCCCAGAGAAGCAGTGATTTAGTTAAATAATGAGCCTTCCCATGTCCTGGCACATTTATTAACAAAATGCATTGTAGTTAAGTCAAATACTTGTGTCTAAGAGAAACAAAAGTTGCCAGCTTGAAGTGGGCAGTTGACATTTTATGACAAGAAAAAAAATTACTTTCTTTACTTTGTGAGCAAAGGGAAAATTATGTGGTATAGATCTTCTAGAACAGTCCTGTCTCCCTCTCTCCAGTCTTCTCTCAGGCCCTGTATTTATTTTCCTGACCAACGTCAATAACCAAACAAGTAATTTGGGATTAGACATCGGTAACAACTGAGTGGAGCCTACTACTCAGGTTTAAGATGAAAGGCACCTTACTTAGCCAGATAGCTTCCTAGCATTTGACAAGGACAACTCAAGTCAGATATGTGCTCCCCATTTCACATGTCCATTTCACGTCCAGACACTGATTTATAAGTATCAGGCTGCTATCCATACTTGAAAATTAGTATTGTTTACTAGACAAGTATATATCTTTCATGTTAAATAAGACAACCATTTGCCTATTTTTGCCTAATCAAAAATAACAGTATTAGCTAATGTTTCCATAAAACTATCTTTGGGAAAACTTTTCTTCTCTACATCCGTATGTAGTTTTTTCTATGCACTGAAAGGCCCTGATTTTTCAGAAGATAAAAGCGAAGTCAGAGTTAGATCAGGGACCTTTGTTCAAGTGCGATGGTCTTACTGCTCTGCACTGGAAGGAACACACAGCGTCACATGAGTGTTTCTCTCGCTGTGCAATCTCCATGAAATATGCAGCTCTAGCCACAAGGCAAAACACAGTTAATCAAATCCAAATGGGTTTATCTGGAATAGTATGGATATTCCCTCAGAACATAAATTTCATGAAATTGAGAGAGAAATCTTTTTTTTTTTTTTTTTTTTTTGGTGAGGAAGACTGGCCCTGGGCTAACATCCGTGCCCATCTTCCTCCACTTTATACGGGATGCCGCCACAGCACGGGTTGCCAAGCGGTGCATCGGTGGTTGCGCACCCGGGGTCCCAACCGGCGAAGCCCAGGGCTGCCGCAGCGGAGCGCACGCACCTAACCGCTTGCACCATCCGGCCGGCCCCGAGAGAAATATTTAATAGGTTAAAGACAAACTTGAATGGAAGTGAACTAGAACTCTTATTTATGAAAAGAAAAATGGTTTCAAAGAGTTGTTAATGACCCTAAAAATGAGACCATCTACTTAAAAGAAAGTGGTGAAATCGACTATTAAGCATTTGAAAGAGCAAATTAAGAAAAATCAGTCCACATTAACACCAGAAGTTTTAAGGAAGCTTTTGTTACCAGCGCTTCTTTTGAAAATATAATAGCACCCTACCTGTGAGAAGGCTGGAGAGATCCCATCTGCTCGGCCATTGTAAATATAAATAGCACCTCGCAAGTCATCTTCTTGTGGAGCTCCAATAGCAATATCTATTCATGAATTTAAATGGCAGAAAAATAAATTCTTGATACAAAGAAGGCAACTCTCAAAACTAACCTCCGTGCTCCTTAATTCATATTGTGTAATATAAGAAAACTCCTTCTTATCAAAAACTAACAGTTTTCCCATTGGACAGAAAAAACGTTACAAAATACTATCTTCTTCATGATATACAGAATTGTACAAAATAGTTTGTGTGCGGAAGAAGCAGAGTGAACTGGTCTTAGAGGCAGTCTAACAGAATGGCTAAGGGCATGGGCTCTACAGCCAGACAGCTGGGGCCTGACCCCAGTTCTGCCCTCGTGCCCACCTGTGCTACACTGGGTCCATTTCTTAACCTCTCTGTGTCTCGGTTCTCTCACCTGCAGCACAGGAGCAGAAGAGTACCCACCCTCAGCATAGAAGGACGTAACTCATGTAAAGTACATAGAGCGTACGTAGCACATAATGAGTTATTATCATCTATGAATATTATAAACACAAGAATCCTTATTTTGAGCTCTAGGCTATATTTTATTTGCAAAATGACTTCCAAATTAATTCCTGTTCCAATGAACATGATCAAGGAATTTGTTAAGGATATCTATATTTACACACACACACAAGGTTTCAGAAAACTAATTTATTCTGTAAAATAATGACTGCATCACCTTTATGACTTTAAGATTCACATCAGATTATGACACCAGGAGAAAAAAAAGATTTGAGCAACTCACATAAGAAAACCAAGAGAAAATAGAAACTATGAATGACATGGTTGCTTAAGTGCTATAAATATATAACAAGTAGGAGAAAAATAATATTCTATAGTTGCAAGAGTATTTCATTATTTTTACCAAGTATTATGTTTATTTGATTATATTCATACATTTCTTCGTATGCAATGTTTTCTTATTACTTTAATATAAACCTAAAATACAGAAAGTTTGCTTTCATTGTACTCATTACTTATCGCAGTTTATCAGATCTAAAACCTTTTTAACAACTACAATAGTAATTTTTGACTGCGATTTCAGTGGGAATAACTACATCTTTGATATAAAACTCTATGCCAAATGCCATACAATTTTAAAAATGAAAGCTTTTCTATTTGCATCTAAAATTAAATGATAGACACACCTTATACTGATTTTGTTTAGACATACTAAGGCTAGCCTCTTTTGCCTTGTGCAAACTATTTTAAATTTTCACATACAAATACGCCTATTCATTTATTCATTCAGTGGACAACTATTGAGTACCTACTGTATTCCAGGCATTTGCCAGGAGCTAGCAATACAGGGCAGTACACAAAAGGAACTGATAGTCTATGGGGAAGAACAGCAAGTAAAAACAAAATAATAAGACAGTATGCAAGGAGAAGGTGGTGGGAGTTAGGGAAGACTTCTCATAGGGGATGATGCCCAAGCTGAGATTAAAGTATTGATAGGTCTTAGCCAGGTCTTCAACTGGGGAAGAGAAAAGGCGCCTTAGACAGAGGAAACAGCCTGTGCACTAGCAGGGGAGCAAGAGGCAGCACAGCACACAGGAAGATGACAACTAATCTGGAATCGCTGCAGCCATATATGCGCAGACTAAATACATACAGAAACGTGAGGGGGAGGAGCGGGAAGGAAGAGAAAGAGAGAAGGGGAGCGGAAGAGAGAAGAAGTATCCTGCAGCCACTGAAAACAAGATCAGTTAGCAACTTCATTCATCAGGGCTAGGTTTACACTTCAACCATTGTGGCTACTCCTTAGTAACTAGAATTCTATACCTTGATTCTTGATGATAATATAGGAAAAGATAAGAAATCTTGGTTATGAAGTTGTTGATACACAGAAATTCTTGCACTATCAGTTATTAGCACTAGTAATCTATATTAAGGCAAACGTCTTGAAACAATATAGGTAAGTCTTTTCAGCTGAAGTATTAAAAAGGCCCAGATCCATTTAATTCCACACAGAAGCCATATGGGTATATCCAGTCATTGGCTATCTTATATATAGAGCCAAACTCTTACTTCCTAGGATTACACTTAGATCTATTATATAACATACTCAAATTCTAGCTATCATTATGGAAATGAGGAAAATACTTATTAATAAGTAATGTTTTTCCACGCCTATGCAACTCAATTTGGGACCAACATACAGAACAAACACCAAGATATTTGACAACTGTTTTTACTTTCATCTGAACATTTTATTTCATTCTGTTAGTATAAATCATAACAATTATTATTAATAATATTTGTGACCCTTGTCACAAAAGGGATTATGACCCTTCAATAATGTTGACAATGCAGACACTGTGCTAGGAGCTTTACCCATGTATCTTATGTAACCTTCAATACTTTTTGATTAAACAAATACTTTTTGATCCCCACTTTTTACAGGTGAGGAAACTGAGGCACAGAGTGTAGCCTGCTCAAAGTCACAGAGCCAGGATGTGGTGGAGCTGGGATTTAACCCTGCAGCCTGGCTCCAGAGCCTGTGGGCTCCATCACCACGCTCTATAAATCAGTGACAACAGAGGTGATGCCCCGTGTTCTCCCTCCTCGCAACTTTTGCTCCTGTGTGTCAAAGAAGTGTTCAGTTATTGATTTGATAATATATCAATATTTATTTCAGGGGCACATAAAATAATAATACATCTTAATTTAAAATTGTAGAACTTTATTACGGTTCTGCTCAAAAAATATTCAAACATATAGTCTAAAAGTCAGGTGATAAGGCTCAAGGTGAAAAACCTAAACCAAAAACAAGTGGTCTTGCCAAATCTATTTTATGGCTGAAATCCAAAATGCTATCTCTCTGCCTGTCTGTCTCGTCACATCAGTCGAGTAGGTCTGTCTATTTATTACCTACCTATTCTGTAACTTTCTCATACATTTGATGAGAATTTTACACTGGACTCTTGCCAGATTGGTTATCTTCTTAGAAAATGGCTTGCTTTTCTTTTCTAAGGACACAAGAAGTATAAGCTGATTTCTTCCTTTTGAAGAACAATAAAAAGAAAACGATATGATGAATGCCAAAATAACTGAGGTCTGTATGCAAAGCACCACAAAATTGTGCAAAGTAAAGGGACATTAAGTCTAATTTGCATTTAAGATGGGAGGTGCAAGGAAAAAGAACAGGTGGGGTTTTCATCTTTTTTCTATACAATCCCACACGCCCTGCCATGAACACGAAGTAACGTCATCCATCTATCCCAGGAAAATAAACTAAGACAGAAGATGAGAAAAAGGAATAGGGAAACACATAATGAAAAATAAAATGCAGATGCCCTGCTGTCTCACCCAGGCAGATGTGGTAGAATGGAATGAGAGAGCTCCGTGAAGAACGAGAACACACTGAGGCTACTTCCAAAGCAGCATGGTCTTGTTAATATTTAAAATGTAGAAAATGCCTACTCATGGGGAAAATAAAAATGCTATTCGGCCACTAAAAAAAGGAAATCCTGCCATTTGTGACAACGCGGACAGACCCTGAGGGCATTATGCTAAGTGAAGTAAGTCAGACAGACAAAGACAAATACTGTATGATCTCACTTACATGTGGAATCTGAAAAAAACCAAAGTCATAGGAACAGAGATCAGATTGGTGGTTGCCAGAGGTGGGGGAGGGGAGGTTGAGGAGCGGGGGAATTGGGTGAGGGTGGTCAAAAGATACAAATTTCCAGTTCTAAGATAAATAAGTCCTGGGGCTTTCATGTACAACATAGTGACTATTGTTAACAATACTGTATTGTATATTTGAAAGTTGCTAAGAGAGTAGATCTTAAAAGTTCTCACCAAAAGGAAAAAAATTTTGTAACTATGTGATGTGATAGATGTTAACTAGACTTAGTGTGGTGATCATTTCACAATATATACATATATCAAATCATTATGTTGTATAATTTAAACTTATTCAATGTTATATGTCAATTATATCTCAATAAAACTGAGAGAAAAAGAAAAAATTAAAACTAGACAAAGTAGCAAAAGATATATGGTATTATATGAACTGAAGTGAATCAGCATTAATCTGGCCACTAAATGTAAATATATTGTGATTTATAAATGGAATTATAAATAGCACAAAAATGTGCTGAAATATTGAAAACTATCATTTGAATAATTATCTTCCAAAGATAAAGACATTACCCTTACGAGTTGAGTCCTGAGGACTACAAAACAAAGAGTGCTGTCTGAAACCAGGTTCTTATATGCACTCTGAAAGACTGCACCGTGCCCTGTGGGTCCCCTCTCAATTCCTCTTCCTAAGTCTCACAGACAGAACACTTTCTGTCTGTCTGTCACAACACTGGAAAATTGCCTGGGATCTTCCCAAGTATTGGAGTGACTTTGATAAGGGAACTTGCCTACTGTCCGTGACACTTTTACAACTCAACCTAATTATAAGAATAATTCAGCTTTGTCATTGACATTTGTTTTTTTGTGTGTTTTTTTTGTTGAGGAAGACTCACCCTGAGCTAACATCTGTTGCCAATCTTCCTCTTTTTCTGCTTGAGGAAGATTAGCCCTGAGCTAACATCTGTGCCAATCTTCCTCTATTTTTTGTATGTGGGATGGCGCCACAGCATGGCTTGATGAGCAGTGTGTAGGTCCGCGCCCGGGATCTGAACCCACGAACCCTGGGCCACCGAAGCAGAGTGTGTGAACTTAACCACTATGACACCGGGCTGGCCCCTCATTCATCATTTTATGCACAGTGTTAACAGACTTGGTTACTACTCAGAACTAGATTGAAAAAAGCAAATTTTAAGAGGGAAGGCTGGTGGAGATATATTCTTCAATAACAGGGCTGATATCCAGGCAATAGTCACCACCTATTCCATTATTGAAATGCTTCCATATCAGTTGGTAAATAGCCACTGTCCCTGAGTCTGCCAGTTGCCCCCTCAATACTGCTCAGGATTCTCTCCTGGGATCCCCCAAATCCCCCCACAAAGCAGCAGCTGAACAAGGAATGCCTGGAACAGCAGGGGGCTTCCAGAACCCTGCTCCAGCTCTGCAGCCAGCCTCTGTTGGGTTTTGTCAGTGTCTTTACTGCACTGATAGTTAAATACTATGGTCCAATGAGTCTACAATACACATTTTTTTCACATTTCACATTTCTGAAATCAGAATCCTTCTTAAAACAGAAAAATGGTGGGTCACAGTTCAATAGGTACCATAGTTTTGGAGGCACATAAAACAATGATGCAACTTATAATCAATGGTGCTGTAGAATCAGTGAAATAAGGTATTTTGACTATCACCCTATATTAACAATAGTAAGAATCAATAGCTGACAACTGAGGAGAAGTTAGGTGTGACACTAAAAAGAAAAAAACAGTGCACCATCCTGGCTCCATTTTCTATAGAAAAGCAAACATAAAATCCCATCATGTTCTTTTCCATGTACCATTTTAAAAGTGGAAATCAAGTACGAAATTAGATACTTTTAATTACCTGCAAAGCCATCATTATCAATGTCGCCAAGATTAACTATAGATTCCCCAAATCTTGCAGCATATTTGTCACTTCCAATGAGCTCTGTTTCCATTTCATTCATTACCGCTCCCTAGATAGAAACGAGAAGAAAAGGTGTCATTATAACACTCCCTGACGACTTTACACATGATTTACTGTTGTAATTGGATATGGATTTTTTTCTAATGCTTCAAACAAGTTGGGCTGAGCTTAGTACACAAATCTCAGTTCAATTCAATAAATATTGATCAAGTATGTCAACACATATAATAGTATGATTAGAGCTCAGAGGACACAAAAAATTGTCAAACTCATGATCTCTAGCTTTGAAAACCCAATAAATCATTTCAATAATTCAATTTCACAAATATTTATCAAGTTCCTACTAAAAGCAATGCACTGTGCAAAGAGTGAAGGAGTAATGGGCAAGGCCGTGTGTGTGTAAGACACACTCCCTTTCCTGAAGAAGCCCACAGTTACAGGGAAGGCTTAGCACAAGCTGTAAATGACTTAGAAGTATCGCTTTGCAATATCAAGAAGAAAGGAGAGCATATCTAATTGTGAGAGCAAAGAGAGATTTCATAAAGGAGATGGTATTCAACGTGGCTATTGAAGGATGGGCATAACTTTGAAATACAGAGAAAATCATCAGCAAAACAAATCTCAAATAATGTGGCTATAATGAATGGTACGTTTAACGAACAAGACAAAAAAAGTCAGATTGGAGTCTTATGGTGTGGGACTTTGGATACTGGGGGAAATTTATTCTCAATTTAGGGAACAATAGGGAGCCACTGAAGGTTTCTGAGTTGAGAGGTGACACAACTGAGGCTCGCCTTTGGAACCTTATTCCAGCAGCAGTGGGGCATGGATTGGTCAACTGCTATCTCTAAAATTGGAAGATGAGTTATTACAACAAGACATTCGATAATGTTGCAGTAATGAGTTTCTGCAATAACAGCTACCAGACCTCTTTACAAATTCTGATCATGTCATTTCCCTTGTAGCAAAAAAAAAAAAAATCCATGCACCACTCATCACAGATCCTTTCCTCTTCTCAAACGTGTCTATCCATCATTCCCTAAGCACACACGTTCTTCCCCTTGTGAAGTGCCCTTCACCTTGTATTTTCCAATTAAAAAATTCCTACACTTGTCTTGCTCAAATACTACTTTCTCTGTGAAACCTTCTGGACCCAAAATGAATTGCTTCCACTCTGTATCTACTAATAATGTGTTTTTTACCATGTTATATTTAATTGTTTACTCACGTTTGTGTCTTTTCTAGATTCCGAGGTCCTGGAGGTCAGGACTAAGATTATTTTCAGCTCTTTTCATAGTTTTTGTTACATTTCAGATACTCACTGAATGTTATTATTTTTTTTTTAAATGAACTAAGCGTGGGAATCAGCTCTGTAGACACAATCACTGGCGCCAAACACAGTGAATGATTTTATCAAAGGAATAAAGGATAAAAGAGCTTAGGTCCAAGTGAAATACCTAATTTAAAGAGCAGAGGGGACAAGAAACTCCAGGGAGGACAAGAAGGTGCAGACCTAAGACAATACAATGACGCTGAAGTTTCGGGGGAGAGTTTCAAGAAGTGGTGATCACTCTTCAAGTATTCTCCAGTCATAGAGAATAGTGACCAAGAGTTTGCTGGGGACCCCTGAGAGCTATTTTAGTAGAAGTAAGTGGAAGCCAGATTCATTCAAGCATCACTGAGTTCATTCAGAAACAATTACTGGGCATGTACTTATCTCGGACTCTTTCAAGCCCTGAGAAAAGAGCAGTAAACAAGACAGACAAATCTTCTCCACATGACATCTACACTCTAGCAGAAGAGCAGACAATAGCAAACCAAACCAATAAATATATAATAGAACGCCAGGTAGCGGTTAGTGCCATTTTAGAGAAACAGGAATTTAGGAGGGAACAAAAGAAGAATAATCTATGTCAGAGGTTTTAAGAGCTGAAGTCAGGTATGAAACTAACTCCAGTGGTCAAGTGGTGTCTCAGGGTAGAAGCGAGGGAAGGACAAGAGGGTAGCCTAGTGGGTAGGGCTCCCCCCTCCCCCTTTAAGCAAAGAAGCTCCACTTTTATCTGTTTTCCATATTGGGAATGCTTAAGATTTCAAAGGGAAAAAAGGTCCTTTATTGCATTATTTTAGATTTATATGTTGTTTAAACTGTTCTCAAAAAGTTTAGTTGTAAAGAGAAAGAAAAGAGAAGTATGCAGAATGAGGATGTAGCTGGTATAAGGAAGACTATTTATGGATAGGGAAATGTGAAATGTCTACGGCAGAAAAACAATACCTGATATCACTATTAATGAGACACTAATGGCCACTTTGTAGATGATATGCCTTTACTATTAAATTTAGGTTTAAACACAGTCTAGGAAATCCCCACGCATAAATAACTTTCTTGCTCTATATTTGGACCTTTGAGAATCTCCCAGCTTTATAAGACTAGAATGTTTCCTCTCAAATCCTAAAGAGTTTAGTCCGATGCTTAATATAGGAATTTATTAAATGTTCTGAAACCACTGATTAAATAAGATTACAAATACCTTCCTGAAATAGACTTGACTTTGTTAAATCCTTAAGAAATGAACCAATTTTCTCACAAACCCGTTCCTGCCCTTAAATCAAAGGAACAAGCCAAAAAGACCCCATTAAGGCTCTATCAGTTCTTTGTTTAGATTTAATGTCAATAAGCCAGGCTGGGGGCCAGCCCTGTGGCATAGTGGTTAAGTTCGGTGCACTCTGCTTTTGCAGACCGGGTTCAGATCTCAGGCACGGACCTACATCACTCCTCAGCCATGCTGTGGCAGCGACCCACATACAAAATAGAAGAAGACTGGCACAGATATTAGCTCAGAGTGAATCTTCCTCAAGCAAAAAAAAAGAGGAAAATTGGCAACAGGTGTTAGCTCGGGTGAATCTTCCCTAGCAAAAAAAAAAGAAAAGAAACTAGGCTGGCAAAATAAGGCCAGCAGAACTCTTTAGATTGAAGTGTCAAGTGGTCAGTTTCTACTCCAAAATATCCCTCATAATTTCAAACTCAACCACAAGCAGTAATTATCTATTTCTACAACTACTATATCCTCTTTGGAATAAACTACATCAATTTAATATTCTTATCAAGAATATATTCTATATGAATTGTTTGAATTAATATTTTATTAAAACGTCTTATTTCTGATTGTTTTCAAATCACAAAACTGAAAAGATTTCATACTTTATCTTCTACTCCTAGTAATATTTTATCATTATCGAATTATATAAGGACATTCACTAACCAAACCAAAAGAGCCAAAAGAAATCCACATTTTGAGAGATATATAAAAATCATTCTTTCAAATTAGACTTACATCATTATAAAACTGGAAGAAACTTCAACTACTTGAGTGAACACATACAAGCTGTGAATAGAGAAACTCCAGAACAGTTGATCTCATGCGCCTGAAATATCCCAAAGGGACAGGTGCCCATTCACCATCAGGTTTGCTTTCCTTTCTAGAGCATCAGTATGATACCAGAATTTTGACTTTTGTCAATAAAATAAGCCTAAGAATCTATAGTCTCAGAATTCGGGAATAAGAACAGCTTCAGTTTTGATCAGAAACCCATAAATGGCTTCCAGCTTGCGGGCCATCAGACGTACCGAGCCAGAGTTGATGTACACGAAGACTCTTCCTTCCTCTCTGATGATGCTCTGCATGGGAGCTCCCACGAGTAGGTCTGAGAAGCCATCTGCGTTGAGGTCCACAGCACAGACAGAAGCTCCAAAGTAAGAGCCAAGCTGCCCCAAAGCAAACCAGATCCGGTCATTGAGAAAAAAGCAGGGCTACTCACAAAAGCCCTCAGGGATACCAAAGGTTGAGATATATTACCTTTTTACCTTTCATTTCATGGATGATATTTAGTTCTTTTGCATCAATGCTGAATATGTATGCCTGCAATTGGGAAAAGAATTAGAAAAAGTTAGACTGAAAAATTTTTTTCGTTTGATCAAAAGATCAATTTTCATGACTTGTAATTCCTCAAATATATTTTAAAAATCCTTTCAAGAGTGAAATAAAAAGTTTAAGGTACCACGTTCACATCAACTTGCCTTACTTGCAAAACTACCTTCTCAGGAACTACCTTATGAATCCTGAGAGAGAGCGCAGAAAGTGTCGTTGGCCTCACTTTCATAGTAAGGCTCAGAAAAATTTAGTGGCTAACGTTCACATAGCAATATAACAAAAACCAGAACCAGAAATAACATCTTATTCTTTCTGGTCTCACCAAAAAACGTGTAGCTGCCTCCATTTCCCTTCAGCTGTGAACTTGTTAACCAATAAATACATTCCCTGGACATTTTGAGATAATTCTATCTCAAAAACAACTTACTCGTAAGAAGGAAAAGTCTCATTTGACTTAGTTTTCCTTCAGGATTTTCTGCTACATTTTACCTAAAAGCCATACAACTTTCAGCAATTCCACTGACTGCAGCACACTGCTGATAATTTTTAGCTTTCATTCTTTAGAATTTTTGCAGTTCTGCCTTTAATATCTTATTCTCTCATGCAGTCTATTTGAACCTTTGCAAAGAAATAGATATAAAAATGGAATTCTTACTTTACCAATCTGTTCATGCTGAGGAGCTCCTCCAACTACTTGGGTAGTATGCTGACTCCAAAAATGACCAGCCCCAACCGAGTATCCTCCAAGAAAATGGAGAAAAGTATGAGAATTATCATTTGCAGTGGATAAAACATATCATAAACCCACTCATAGAATTAAATGAGACTGAATTCTAGGATAGCAATATTCAATATTGGTCATTTATTATGTTTTAAGCAATCATTAATATGTGTGTTATGAAACTAGTCAACGTGGCTTATATTTCCAAGTTCTAGAAATTAAAGATAGCACCTTCACATTTAGTTTGTTAGTACCGGTGAGTATTAGGACATGTTAGCCTCTAGAATTACAACAGAAATATTTTAGAGTATTTAAAATATAACATTTCAAACTTTAAAAAAAAAAATCTTCCTAAATGTCAACTTTTTGCCATGAAATCCTCCTATTGTGATAAAACTTTATAATGATACAAAGGTAAAATATTTTTATTTCGTGATAAAAAGCATAATACCAAGTTACACTTCTTCATAATACTTCAAGATACCCTTCAACCATAAACAAGTAAATGTTGAATTGTAAATGAGTTCCCTCTGTTTGAAAATGAATTCCTTCTGTCTGAATGGGAAAAAATAATACTGCCTTTTCTTATTATAATTATTTCTGAATATAGGCTGCTCACATGTGAAGCACATATGGTTTAAACAAATCTGTATTTTCTAAGAAACTATGGGAAAAGCATTCCTTTTACTATAACAGGATTAATGCCAGAAAAATCTTGTGTTTCTGTAGAAATATAGACTATAAAGCATCCACTGCTAACTTATTAGGGAGGAGAGGCGATGCGGAGGGAATGGGAGGAGATAGAGATAGGAGGGTATGGGAGGGTGTGGGGGGAGCGGGGCTGGAGCAGGAGGACAGAAGGAAGATAAAAATAGTTAAGCTCTGGGAAATATTCTAAGAACTTATGAGGCGAAGGTCAATGAGTCGTTTTTAGATCCATGCTTCATAATGTTACCCCTTGTCTAGAATGCTGTCAACAGACCCATTGACCTACAGTTAGTCCTTTAAGAAACTACACTTACTCACTCATAAATGATTAAATGAGTTAATTCACATCAAGTGCTTACAAAAGTTCTTGGTTCCTGCTTACCATAGTAAGCACTCAATAGACGCTACCAATGTAACAGTATGTTGACTACATAAAGATACAAGCTTACAAGTATTTTACTGCAGAGAGTAAACTAAGCTAGGGGTTCTAGTCTAAGAATTATATATTGATGATTATAGTCACATATGTAAATGTAAAATATTAAGTTAACTGTCTCTTTAATTGCTACTGGGCATTCTGATCTCTTGAAAATATAATTTCCCTTATTTAAAATTACTAGTATCTGTAAGGCAGAGATAATTTGAGTTTGTCAATTTTTGTAGTACCTAGATAACTTCCAAATTTTACTTGATTGTCTTTGTCTAAAAAAGCCTTGTATTTATTTGTAGTTATGTTGTAGACAAAAAGAGAGCCAGTCCAATAAGACGATCCTGGGGCTCCCATCACAATTAAATCCTGTAAGACAAAAACAATTTATCATTATTTAAGAGTTTAACCTCACCACCCAAAACCTCCTCCAGATATACATTTTAATAGTGAAAAGAATACATTTTTATAATAAATTTCTGAAATCTGAGAATTTTATGTGTATAAAAACATATCAGAAAAAACACCAGAGAAGCTAGCTAATGAATTTTCACCTAAAAGTAGAATTTTAGAGAAGAAACTCTGAAACTCTCACTTTACACCATCAGTGGACTTTAAAATCAAAGGTCGAATCATTGAATAGTAGAGTAAGCATTTGAGAGACAGGCAATGTGGTTTCTATTAAAGTAAATCATATCTGGGTAATTCATTAGTGCTCATTAGGGAGATAATTATGTGTTGCCAGAGTAAAAAGTGGACTTAATTTACTTCAATTTGAAAAATGCCATTTACTAGTTTCCTTAACAATGTTAGCTTAGAAAAAAAAAATGTCTAATGGAATTGTGGCATATTTGATAATAAATACAAATTTAGGAAAAGGAAATAGAGGGAAAGTTGGAATGATCAGACACTTGTCTGGTGAAACATAATAACTTTCAGCGATCAAATCTATTCAATACACTTCTAAATTTCCTAAACAATCCTGAACTTAAAAAGGTCAACTTAAATGTAAACTCAAGAAAGCATTACATATTTTTTTTACACAGTGGGTAATATTTGTGGAAATTGTTAACCCAAGGCTTCATATAGACTGTCTACATAGATTCAGAAAACATTCACAAATTCATAACGGGTTTTTAAGAGAAACTGGGAGATTTGGGGGTTGAGTACAACTGTGACCTTTTACCGTATATCCTAGAGTGTTAGAGAATAATAGTTTGGGAATATATCTGATTTAAGAGGATATTATTAAGTTCTTCAATCTCCCAATTCTCATAATTTTATGAAAAATGTGGATTCATATGCTTCCTTCCCCCCTCAACTAGTAATTAAAAATAACATACTTAGATATTTTCAATGCCTAAGGTAACAAATAATTATAGCTACTTTTGATTTCTATTAAATTCTTGATAAAATTAATATTCATTAGTATAAACTTTTAGTTGGTGTTATGTGGCACAGCTATTAACATTTTCTCGAAGTATATGTGAAACATTGAGTGGTGAAAATTAAGTTGTAATATTCTCAAATTTAAGAGACATATTATTCAGGTGCCATACAATTTTTACTTTCAAGCACAATATCAGTCTTCTAAGTCTTCAGAAGAATTAAAATTCTATATGTAAACATTCATAGCAGCTAATTTTTGGACTATTACCTCTGTGTAAAAACTAGATATTCCAGCTTGACATGATGCAAAATTTTCCCCAAATTTTTTCACAAAATCTAAAATGAAGTAGAAAAACAATTCAGGATTTCATTTAAAAATAAAGACAAAATCTGCACAATTTCGTTTATCTTACATCTCCTTACAAATATACCTCGTAAGGTCTATATATAATACTATCTCATTTTAAAAATAATAGTAACTTTGATAAAATTTAAGGTCACAAACTTCTTCCCTATTAATCTTCAAAATATCCCTATGAAATAGCAATAAACATTTACCCCTGCCTCTTTATCATGGGAAGAACATGCGGCATACACTCAAAAAAATTATCGAGGGGCTGGCATGGCGGTGTAATGGTTAAGTTCACGTGCTCCAGTTTGGCAGCCTGGGGTTCGAGGATTCAGATCCCAGGTGTGGACCTATGCCCCACTTATCAAGCCATGCTGTGGCAGGCATCCCACATATAAAGTAGAGGAAGATGGGCACGGATGTTAGCCCGGGGCCAATCTTCCTCAGCAAAAAGAGGAAGATTGGCAACAGATGTTAGCTCAGTGCTAATCTTCCTCACCAAAAAAAAAAAAAAAAAAAATTACCAAGTATCTAAGACAGAGGTAGGATTTGTGGTTTCCAGTCCAGGTTGCCATTTAAAATAGGCTTCCTAGATTTTGCCCAGCTGAAAATAACAGACTGAGTCAAGATCTGCATGGAGATGGGGGTCTCTTATTACAAAGTCCCCCTAAGTGGATGCTTTCGGAACTTACTGTGGGAACAAAGCTTTGCTTCTCCTGAAGAATTGACATAAGTAAACCTCTACAAAAATAAAAATCAGGACCACGTCTTCATTATGGCTTTGCTAACCAGAAAAGTTAAATTGCTAAGTCATTTATAATTACTACTCCCTCTCGTGATTTTTCACTCCTTTTTATATTTTCCCCAATCCTATTTCATTTTTAATTTTTATACATTTTGCCATAATTTTAGGTGTCTTAGGTTTATGCCATCTTGAATTTTTTGTAGAATGTGGCTGGATATATCTGAGCAAAAATAAAACTTTATTGTGAAAATGTTTTAAGGCATAAACCATAATCATTAGGAAAAAGAATAAACATACAGAAATCTAGACTGAGTTTCACTGAAATTGAAAATTTTAAATTCACCTTTTAGCTTCTTGGTATCCAAAGGCAAATATAAGGAATATTAGGGATATATATGACATAACTTCTCTGTGACGTCAAACTCCAGAGAGGAAAGACCCCAATATTAATCAAATTAATAACTGAATTTGCAAACTTAGTCAAAGTTTTGTCAGGTAACAGAAATTTGCTTTGGCCACTGGGGTAAACATTTTGGTTAGAAAAATGGGAAGTTGGCATTCATATATATTTAATTCTTAGTTTTCCAAAGACATATTTTTAGAATTTTAGTTTTGTTACAGATCTCATTTTTAATGCTCTATCGACATTCACTCCTAACTCTGCTCACTTCAGTTAAGTCCTAGCTCTGTACTCACTAATGCTACCTATGGCCTAGACTTTTCATGGGAAAGATCTTTCAAACTTAAGATACCAATTCCTTGCTGTTTCAAGGAAAAGATGAATTTGAAGAAAAAGAAAAAGAAATAGCGAGTAGGAAAGATTTACTTACACTTATACTTTAAATCTTTCTGAATATTCTTGGAAGCTAAAGGTAAAGCAAGAAACCTAAACAGTTCTCTCCTTTCTGATCAGACTTTTCAATCTGATTTAATGATTTTAAGTGTCTTATATTTGAGGGGCATTAAAGTCACATATACTGAATTGAAAATAAATTCAATGCAGAATTGGGTAATTATCAACTAGACTCTAGAATTATTCAAATTAAACTGTAGAATTTCTATTCCTAAAAACACAAAGTACATTTCTGAAAACTAATACTTGTACAGTTGGGTAAAAAAGGAAAGAATACTTTGAGTAGTTAAAAAAGAACATAGCTATTTCAAAGGTCTCCCTCTCTCTGCACATCCCAAATTGAAAACAGAAAAATTTTAAAGGCATTCCCTTGTTTCTCTTGATCCAGTTAAAATCAAAATCATACCTTACCTTGATAACATGGCGCTATTCTTTTACTCAGCTCTGCTCGTAAATCAGAGGGCATTCCATAGCAAACACCCGTGGGGAGCTTATTTTCATTCTTTACGTAAAAGATATTTTTCCATCTATGCCCACAAGTCTGAATAAAACATAAAAGTAGACCAAATGATGTGAAAGTCACACCAGAATATCTGAATTCATGATGTTATCAGTGGACCAATTCCAATAACCTACCACGATGGATCCATTTTCTCCTGGCTGTCTGGAAAGCGTGACCCCCAGCCATTGATTGTCTCTTTCTTCCAAACAAGTCTTTCCACAAGGTTCTCCATTAGGGCTACCTACAGCATATGAAAATAATTTCATCATCAGGTATCTTGAAAACAATGTTATTTTACGAAAGCAGAGAAAATAAACATGCATGCTTATCCCTAATGTTTTTTCCTTCAGCCACATGTGAAATGTCCTCGTATCCTGCTTCTCTATCTCATACTCAGTGCACACTGGGGGGGGTAACCATGAGTTACTCTGTACCTACATAACTGTTCTCTCACAAGGTGATTTTTGGTTGTAGAAATGACCTCCAATGGTAACACCCTTCTGAAGAGACGACCTTGATGTAGGAGACAGCTAACCAACATGACTAAGGGGGAAGACCAGTTTAAACCAACATAGGCTGTGCAAATATAACTGCCGTGTATAATGCTTGGCAAAGAATTTGCACCTTGTTTTGACCATTTATCTAGCAATATAAGCAACATTACCAGAGCACTTTTTAAAACATTTCTTATATTGAGACATTAGGAATAGAAAGACTACAATATAGTCCTTAGCATTTAAGTCACAGTTGATCGAAGCTGGAAGGTGATGATCGAGCATGTGGAAAGGAGCTGTGTGTAATTAGCATACTAACAATCCTAGCATTTAAAACAAACTGTCCTGTGGTTTACATTTAGCGGATTGTGACACGTTTTCAACAAAGAAAAAAACGCTTGAAAAACCAGATACTTTCAGTGGTAAATAAAAAAATTCAATAGGCACTTTGGTAAATGCATGAATAGCCAGAAAGCCAAACATAAATAAAATATTACTCATGGGCAATATAGTACTTCTAAACTGTACAAGAACAAGTGATCTTCCCAGTGATCATTTTTTTTGTTAGAGTGACTTCTTTGCTTTATTAATATAAGGATTATTAATATAGGGATCCCGTATTAAAGTGATTTCAAATAAATGATTTGGGGGAGAATAAGATGCAGCAGATTAAGATTACTTTTGCTGTCTTGATTTTCACCCTCTTCAATTGCCATGTGACAGTTCTATTCCACCTGTGCTCAATTCCAAAGGCAGGTAAATATATTTGCATCGATTTGATTAGAGAAGGATGTGAAACTTGGGTTTATCCAATTTTGAACTCTGGTCACTGATACCAAGTTTTCATACACGTACAGTGACCATTCTCTAAATCATTAGGCACTTTGTCTCCTATAACCTTGACCCCTAGATAAAGCTTCCTGGGCAAACTCAGAATACCTACATAGATAAGGCTAATATTATGGAAGTGAAATTATCTGCACTAAATGTCCTGGTTAGGAGAGATTTTTGTCTGTTTAAGGAGTGTAGGAAGATGTTTGTATATATATTTGTTTGTTCTCCAAAATGTTCTTCAGGAGAAATAACAAAACCCTCAACACAGCTAAACTGAAGAAAGTTTCCTAGCCCTTCTCTGGAGAGTGATTCATGAGGTCTAGGTGAACCCCTGACTACGTGGGTGATTCTCATGGTCTGGAACATCGTTAAAATGGAACGTGGATAATGATCAGGTTTTTCTGATCAGGTTTCTTGTAGAATAATGACGACTCCCATCAATCCGTAGTGGCTGCTTGGAGCTTGAGACTGAAAGGAAGATGACTAAGGATAGATCTGGAAAAAGAATGTCGGGGTTGATTGGCAATGTCTACTTGGAATGGGAAGGGAATCTTGCTGCAGCCCAAACCTTGATAAAGGATGGTCCAGGTGGAAATATAAGGTCTCTATGTTAAAATTAATAAAGGAAAAAAAGAAGGGAGGAGGGAGAGGGCAGGAGGGAGAAAGACAATTGTGTGTGTTGGGTGGGTAAGGATTAATATAGCGAGTTGTTATTGTGGCTACATGATGCCAACATAATCAAAAGAAAGTGAAAGAATTACAAAAAAAATTTTAATTTTCATCGTGATGCAATTTTCAGTTTGACTTTTCACTAAAATCGCCTTTTTTTTTTTTACTCTCAAAAATAGATGATATGGGCCAGCCCGGTGGCGCAGTGGTTAAGTGCGCGAGCTCCGCTGTGGCGGCCCGGGGTTCTCAGATTTGGGTCCCAGGCGCGCACCGACGCACCACTTGTCAAGCCACGCTGTGGTGATGTCACATATAAAGTAGAGGATGGGCACAGATGTTAGCCCAGGGCCAATCTTCCTCAGCAAAAAAGAGGAGGATTGGCATCGGATGTTAGCTCAGGGCTGATCTTTCTCACACACACACAAAAAGATGATAAATGGTAGTTTCCATCTACCTGATGCTGAAGATCCTATTGTATACCACAACATACACTTCCATGAAATATCTTCTCTGAAAATACCAAAGTCTTTCTAAAATTATAGTCAATACTCAGTTAACTAAGGCAAATGAACAGAAGGAAAATTAAGGAGAAGACAGAGGTCACAAATAACACATTGTGTCTATTAAAATGTGGTATATTATATATATAAAATGTGGACACTTTCATCAAGATTACACCCAATATTTAGAAACAAATCTACCATTGTAGAGATGTCACCCAAAAGTTTAAAAATAGAAATATACAATAGTTTAGAACTGCAAAATACCATGTAAATTGCTTGAGGAAAATGGCCATGAAGTTTTTATGCACAAAAATAGTGAATTGTTATTGTCTATTCCTTAGCTGAGCTCTCTCATTTTAAAATGAAGACTAGAGAAACTCTTGTGTTATTAAACTGTTTTCTGGGATGCTTGATTCCACATTGCATCCTCTCTGTTTTAGTTGTAGCTCCACCAGGTGACATCATAATGTCAGCACAGCTCAGAATCTCACGATTAGCTTCACACACATCATAGCCCAACTTCCCCACTTTATCAATGTCGCTTCCCTCAAACATCTTTCTCTCCAAGTCTGAGTACCTCGCAGCTCTCCAGGACTTACACAACACTCCCTGCTCCTCCCCGCACCCCTCACCGCTTCCCACTTCTCAGGCCTTTGTGCCGAATTACATCACCAGCTGTCCTGGTTCTTCCGCTTGTAGATGGCAGATAATGGGACTTGCTCAGCCTCCACACTGAGGGAGCCAATTCCTATAATAAATCTCCTCTCATATCTAGCTACCTACCTACCTACCTACCCTATCGGTTGTGTTTCTCTCATGAACCCTGACTAATACAACTACATTTATTTATTCGCATTATCCTGTCTACTTCCAAGGCTTAGTAAATAATGACCTAATTCATCTTGCCCAGTACTGCATCTCGTTCATCATTATCTCATCCCCAACACACAGCTCAGAAATGCGTGATGAAAATGGAAGGATCAATAAATGAAAAACCATTCGAAGCTTCCATTGTGGTTTGACTAAGTATCTTCTATTTGTGCTTTGTATCTTAATTTGAAACGTGTATAAAAGGATGAATGCACAGGCAAAGAGAAAATTGATGAAAACAATAAAGTCATGAAACAATTATTTGTCCACATAAGTGAACAAACACACAGACTCACATTTACATAGATTTATTTCTCCTTTCCACTTCCTAACACTGCTTCTGCCATAGGTAGCACCCTATGGCACCAACATACAATTCAGTGAGGTCCTTTCAGCACGGGTTACAAGACAGGATCAGTTCAAACAACAGCCTGTGAGTCCCCACTGCTGCTTTGGGTCTTTTCTTCATTTCTAGGAACTTTTTACCCTTTTCTTCTGTAGCGCTTGCAGAATCTTGGCAGTGAGGGAAGACCTTTACATCATCATCAACTTACACTCAGGGCCTTCTCCAGAGCTTTCTATTACCCTTGCTTTCTCCTGAGTCCCCTCCTTTATTATGGGGTTCTCAGTCTTGACTGGAGATTAGGATCATCTGGAGGAAGTTTTGAGCCAAGGCCGACACCTGGTCCCCACTCCCAGAGGCTCAGATTTGGTGGGTGTTGGTTGAGACCAGATATCAGAATTTTTTGAAAAGCTCCCCAGGTGGTTGTGTGTAGTGTGTAGTCGAGCTTATGAACAACTGCTCTACAGTGTAAATGGTTACGCCTTTTCCTGCGTTATACCATATTTGAAAAGAGACTACTCCATTTTTAAAATAATAGTCATACCTTTTATGTCCTCCTTGGTTTCAGCTAGATATTGAAATATGATATCAAATGTTAAGCAAATTTTCTTCATGTCAAAATAGAGTATTTCTAATTCAGTCAGAAATGATGATTATTAGAACTGTCATGAGAAAGCTAATTCTCATGAATTTCTCTGACAGAACATCATAAATAAACTCAGATTATCTTTATATTTTATCCAAATGTCATGCTGAAATGATTTATAGTCTAGTTTTCAATTCAGCTCATACGTTACTAATCTAAACTCTTAGTCAATCAAATCAGCCTCATAATTGAAAAAGTACTTTACATAGTTTAACATGAAAGAGGTCAGCAGAAATTAACATGTGATCATTTTCCATGCTTTTATACAACTAGAATGACTAATAGCGCAGTTGAATGCATTTACCCACTAGACATTAAAAATACAAAGCCACATGAAAACAATATCCCTTATACTAAAAATTAAGCCCATCTTTCTCTTTCCACTTTTTTTTCATTTGAGAAAGAACGTATAAAGATGTATGCTTACTACTTCAGTTTTTTATTTCCATCTACTGATTTTGTATCAGTGCATACATGTGTATATAAATGTGAAAAGCAGTAATTTTAATAGACGAATATAAAAGATGTTGGCACAGAGCCAATTAGGCACACCCTTTACCACCACCACCTTGTTTTGTTGTTGTTATTGACATCACCAGTTTTAGTGTCACTGCTCCAAGTGCCAAAATATGACAGAGACTGTGGAAGACTAGATATTCAAGCTTGAATGTCACCTCCATGAGGGCAAATGGACTATTTTGTTGACTGTGGCATTCACACTGCACAGAACAGGGCCTTACATGCAGTAGGCAGGAATGAAATACATATTTGTAGAGGGAGAGAATTCTGAAATATATTATACCCTCTCAAAAATCCTTTACTAGATGGTATTACTGCAAAATCTTCACCAAACTCTCAGGGATTTTAGCTTTGGAGACGTGT